AATAATCAATGTAATGAAACAAGCTATATGAATGGTTGAATGTGAAGCTGATGATGTGCCCTGTAAACTTTCACTCAATGCAAAATAAAAACATTTAATTAAAAAAAAAAAAAAAAGAATAAACGAGTGAGCATGTTTATAAATGAAGCTAAAGATATAGAACCCCCATGAGGCAATGCTGTGTGGCAGAAGGAATATGAAATTTGGAATGGAGAGGAGTTGGGTTTGAATTCTGGCTCTGCCATTTATTCGTTGTGGGGCCCTAGCTGGTACCACCCCCCAGACCTAGAGTAACCAACTGGCTTGCTTACCCCCTGCCTACCACCACCCCAAACTCTGGCCTTTTGGCAGTGTAGCAGCCAGAAGGACCACTTAATCAAAAGTAGCCTCCTTTCAGGTCCTCAAAGCAAATGGAGCAAATACCATGAGTCTTGGTGTGGCACTGTAGGTTAATGCGCTAGATTGCAAAGTTGGTTTGAACTGCAACATTGGTGGTTCAAGCTCACCAGCTGCTCCTTGGAAACCCTATACAGCATAACTACAGGTTGAAACTCACTCGACAGCACTTAACAACATTAAGTATTATAATCAAACTTTTAAACTATCAGTCAAAGCATGTTCCCCTACTGCCTTGACAAATTGCTTTCATAAAGACAAAACTTTTATTTTTTCTTTTAACTTTTTTCTTTCCTGGGATGCATTTTTGCATTTTCTATTTCTGTCTGTCATAATCACAATCCTCATTCATTCTCAGAGGATTTGTGTGGTTTTTTTTAATGTAACTGCACTCTCTTTGGCACCTCCTGGATTGGTGAGAACATCAATGAACAAGAAAAGGAAAAGGTGGAACATCCTTGTGGGCAATGCAGATCCCATGTTGGGAAGTCTTCCAGACCTTTCTAGTGATCTCTTCACTTGTATCCTTTCTGGTGATAGGAAATTGGTAACTGTAAGTATAGAAAAGAAAAATGCAATGGCACTCCAAATTTAAACACAGTTTTCTCAAAAAGTAACTAACATAATTATAAAACTTCAAAACATTCAAATTGTTTTCCAAATGTATTCAAATGACATTTCTTCCAACATATTTTAATTTTTAATGAAAATTTAAACAACATCAAGTTCATAATGAACAAACATCAAATTTTTAATAAAATGTCAGTGGTCTTTGAAATCTTAATTCCATTTTATTAAGCATTTTAAGAAAAATATAATTTCTTGTAAGATAGTGCTCCATGTCTCATGAGTTCCTTTCATGCTTCACATGTTATGTCCAGACCTACATATTTGCAAAGTTGGCAATAATGTGAGTTATTTAACATTGTAAAATATTCCTACGTTTGGACTGCTGTACAACCATCAAAACGGGGAAAGAAGAAAATGGACATTTGGCTATGCGAGAATCTGTTACACCCATGCAACCTGAAAGGAGAGATCTTTTGTTCACCTCAGAGTTTTAAATCTTCCCCATACTCCAAGAGGTAGTTTCCATCTCTTACAACGACAACTGTTCAGCTCACATACCTCTGTTGCATTCAGGTACCGATACCTTTTCTTTTAAGGGTAGATGGTAAAAGATATGGATGTGTTCCCTGGGGCCTGAACATCATTAGAACGTGGATGTTCAGGTTTTCAGTCCTGTTGAGCCAGCACAAAGCCTTGGGCCCCAGAGTCACACAAATGTCCTGTGGTTCTTAGTACTGCAAGTGTTTCAGACTCTCAGGAGCCTCTGAAGTAAAGGTCTTGGGAAGGACCCTTCTTGCCCTGGTGTTAGAACAGTACTGATTCAATGTGCCAAGTTCTTTGCTGCCTGGAAACATTTTGCAAATGTCTCATATTCCTAGTCTTTGAAGCTCTTCAAGTGTGAAATTAAATATTCCCTCCTCAGAGAACCTTGTATGTCCTCTAAATCCAGACAGGATCCCACCTCTCTCCTGGAACTCAGTTCTTTTCTCACTTGGCATCTATCGCAAGTAGCAACACTGAGATTATTGTAACTACTAGTACATTTACATTCCTATCTGTCTTGATCACAAGAACGCAAACTTCATGAAGGCAGGGAGATGGACTTGTCCACTGCTCTATCACCAGTGCTTGCCAGAGTGCTGAGCACATAGTATGTGCTCAGGAAATATTCATTGACTGACTGTCTGTGAACCTCAAGTTTCCTTACCTTTAGATGCAGGGTGTTGATATCTACTTTACAGATATTCTTGAGATGGGGAGAGAGGATAGAAGCAAGGGGCCTAGCATATGGTCAATAAATGCTATTATTATAACACATTCAGAGGCAGGTGAAGACTGATGAATCTTGCAGTTGGTGACATCAGGATTGTTTAGATTTGAGTAGACTTCCTGGAATAGAGAAGGCACTCTAAGAGAGAACTTGAACAAAGACATGGAGGAACGAAAATGTAAGGACAATAAGTCAATCCATGGGGCTAGATGAAAAGGAGGGTCTGGGAGAGCCCTGTAGTTAGAAAGGCCAATTATGGGTAGATCAGTGATAGCCTTAGGTAGTGGGGAGCCAATGAATGTTTTTGAGCAAAAGTATCAACTGAGGAAGTAGTTTTTATGGAAATATTAATTATGTATCAGGTGGAATAATAAATTGAAGGAAGACAAAAGATGTGACCATTTACTTCACACTCCATCTCTCATCTTTATAACTGTATAAGGTACCCTGATGGCACTGTAGGATCCTCACTGGACTGCTAACCACAAGGTTGGCAGGTCAAATCACTAATCACTCAGAGGGGAAAGCATGAGGTTTTCTGCTTCCATAAAGACATACAGCCTCAGAAAGCCTACACAGACTCACTACGGCAACGGGTTTGATTTTTGCTTTTAATATATGCAAGGGTTAGTAGCAAATCTCTGATAGGAGACAGATTTTAATTCAAGACCTGCCACCTCACCCCCCTGAGCCTCAGTTTCTCCATCCGTAAAACTGAGATAGTAATCTCTAGCCTGCCTACTTCATTGGACTCAAATGGAATAAAGAATGTATTCATTTATTATCTCATTTAAAATTGAGCCCTGATCATGTGTCATGCATGCTGGAGAAGCCCAGAATGGAAATGCTGTGGAAAAGGGCATACAATTACCAATTATTGAGCACTTCCTGTATGCAACTTTCTAACCACTATTATCTCATTTATTCTATACAATATTCCTACCAGGGATTATTAAATTCATTTTGTAAATGAAGTAATTGAAGCTCAGAGAGGGTAAGTGACTTGTAAGGGGAAGAGCTCAGGGCTGACCTACACTGGAATTGACCTCCTCCCTCCTAGAATCCATCTAATATTTCCTTCTAACATCCCTGTTGCAGTCCTGGTGTAGTGCTATAGACTAAGCACTGGACCTAGTGCCTGCTCCACATTTCTTTCTGAATCTGGCTTGAATTTCTGACAGATCCCTGTCGATGTACCCTGCAATTTTTAAAAATTATCCTTGCATGTGATATTAATGATATTGTTTGATACTTTCTGCACTCCATTGGATCACAGTATATATGGGTAGATCTCTTCCAGTCGGTTGGCCAAGTAACTATCTTCCAGATTTCTTGGTATACATAAAATGAAAAAGAGCAAGACCTTCCAATAGATGGATAGACACAGTAGCTGGAACAATGGGCTCAAACATACCTACTATCATTAGGATGGTTCCGGATCAGGCAGCATTTCATTTTGTTATACTTTGGGTAGTTATAAGTTGGAACCAACTTGAGAGCCCCTTACAACAAAAACAACGCCTGAGCTAGACCTTTGTACACACCATGCCATTTCCTAGCTTTGCTCCTGCTGTTCCCTTATTTCACTGACAACTCCTCATTCCTAATCTATCAAGCTTGGGCTTTCGGAGGCTCCCAAGCTTCTCAGTACTCAATCAACCCCCTACCACAACATCAATCACACCAACACTATATCCTTGGCTTCCAAACTTTTTTAAGAATCATTTCCCCTATCAGAAAAAAAATTTGTATGCATACCCTCAATAGAAAGATATTTCTATATAAATTGTGTACATATAGTGACTCTCAGAGACTACTAGACTAAGATACTCCAAACCTTGAACCAAACAAAACTTACCCCTCGGGTCACCTTGTAGCTACATGACGAATTGACTGAAAAAATATTGAATATCATCTGTAAGTACTTTTAGAAATCAATTCTATGAAACCAAACAGTCAACAATTACTTTAAAACAAAGATAAGAATAAAAGGGAGTAGGGAAACTAGATGAGTGCAAATGGAACACCCAAAATAGAAATCATGACACTGTTGATGTATTGTGAAGAACGTAGCCAATGTCACCGAAACACTTGTGTAGACATTGTTGAATGGAAATCTAAACTGTTGTGTAGGCCTTCCCAAAATGCATTGCATACATATGCTTCTGTAGATCCATGAAGGGAAAATACACGATCCAGCTAACATTTCCTTCCAACATCCCTATTGGAGCCCTGGTATAATGCTGTAGGATAAGCACTGGACAGCTAACTGAAATGTCAGCTGTTCAAATACACCAGTTGTTCCTCTGAGACCCTATACAGGGTCACTATGAGTTGGAATCCACAAAACAACATACCCCCTAGTGACCACTAAAGCTACTGGGTGTTTGAGAAGAACTTGGAGGTCAACTTGTCTCTCAGTGCCCTGGGACTGGGGAGGCTGGTGCACAGGGCAGGGCAAGAGTACCTCCCCAGTGCTGCTAGACCTCCAGAGCCTAGAGCCAGACGGGAAGTGGGGCATAGGGGAGGTGGGGGATAGGTTAAACCGGGATTAGCTGGGGTGGTGTGGGAGGCTCCTAGAGACACTTGGTGGCCAGAGAAGGGTGCAGATCAAGCGAATGCATCATGCCGCTGCAGGATGACACCCTCCGAGAAGTGTGGGCCTCGGACAGGTTTGGAAAACGCCCAAGTCCACCTCACCTGAAAGGGGGAGGAGCCAGATGCAAGACCTAGGTGGGGAGAAGCAAGGAAAGAGGCTGGCTGATTCTTTTGTGACCTTCAGCGGGCCTGAGGAGGAAAGCAGGAGCCCAGAGGTCCAGAGGCGCCCAAAGCAGGTACATCACCCCTTCTTGCAAAGGGGGTTGCCCACTGTGCATAAACCCACCGAGGGTAGGGGTTCCGGAGTGGGGAGAAGCCCCCTCAGCAGCATCTGTAGGTGGAGTGTCTGAAGTTTTGGGAGGGGAAAGGGTGTTTGGGGACGTGGATATGGAAAGGAGGAATTTGGTTGGACTTTGGGGCATTGAAGGTGGCCATGATGCATAGAACGGATCGTCCTCTCACTCAGCGGAGGGCAGCTGCAGTTCCCCACCCGATTATCTGCAGTTATTTCTGGAAGCTCGAGGGATTAGACAGTGATCGGCAGCCTTCCAAACCCCCCTTCCTTCCTCTCCTTCCTCCTGAGCCCCCACCCCTAACCCCCACTCCGCAGCGGCCCGCCCAGGGACAGAAGTCGAGGAAGAAGAGAACAGAGGATCCAGAGGATCCCGGCCCCCTGGGATTCAAACCCGAGAGACCTGGAGGTGGACAGGGGGCTGGACTGGGGGGTGTCCCTCATGAGAGACTCAGGAAGGGGACCGAAGGGCAGGCGAGGGGTGTTGCTGAGACTTGGATCCCACCCCAGGGAAGCAAGGGTGGAGGCGGGCTGCGGGAACTGATGGCTGCTGAAGGGACTGGGATTGAGTCAGGGAAGCGCCCCAAATGCGGGGGCAGAGTGAAGTTTATAAAGGGGATAATAATGGGGTGAGGCAAGTGTTAAATGTAGAAACTGAGTCCAGGGGAGCCCCCCCAGGGTTAGGTGCCCCAAGCTTGGGATGCCTTGGGGCACTTTGGGGCGGGGATGTTGGAGGGAGGGGCTTTGCCTCGCGCGCGGCCGCCGGAACTCGCCAGCCCCTGGCTTCCCAACTCAGCCGCAAGGCGGCGGCAGACGCGGGAGGTGCCCGCCTCTGAACCAGCAGACGCCGGGGCTCAGCACACGCTCTACACCAAGTTCCTCAGGGACCCCGAAGCTAAGAAGCAGGATCCCTGGGAAACTTTCCTGGTATCCCGTGCCCCTGACGCATTAGAAGGTGAGATAAATCCTGAAGGAAGGGAGATTGGGAGGCCGAGGGAGAGTATTGACGAGGAACCATAGACTGAAAAAGATTGAAAACTACCACAAATAGCCTCTGCTTCTCTGGCCCGTCTTTGTGCTAGGCAAAAACCATGTGAGGTTGATTCTCTTGGGTTTTTAATGCCCATTTCACAGATGAGAGGCCAGTTAAGGGTTTTGCCTTAGACTACAACTAGGAACCAGAGGTAGCCCAGATGGGTCATCAGAAACAAAGACAGGGAGGTGCAGTGAGAAGGTGAACAAAGAGAAACTGGGTAGACAAAGAAGAAGAGCTTGATGAGACTAGGGTGCAGAGACGTTGAGCCTACAGAGAAGGTCTGGTTTCTAGAACAGATTCCCAAAGCCCAGCATTCCCCTAACTCTAGCTGTATTTCCTAACCGGGAGAAACATGAGGACTTTGGGGTAATACTGCCCCCCCCACACACACACACACAAATGCCACATTCCCACCACCACCCTCGCTTCTCCCAAGAATGTGCTAGGACTCCCTCCTCTTCCTCCTGCTCTAAAAGGGTTGGGACCCTGTCCCTGGTGGGATTCACCACTTCCCAGAATTCTGGAGGAACTGGGCTCCCCAGACAAGAGAGTCCTACCTCAACCTCCTTTCTATGAAGAATTTCTCCCTTCAGAGGATGTCAGTGAAGAAAAGGAGGACAATGAGGAGGAGGAGAAAGATGAGGAAGAAAAAAAGGAAGAGAAAATCCCTCTGCCTCCCAAGAAGCCCCCTAAAGAGAAGGCTTCTGCAGACACCAAGGAGAGGAGGGCCAAGGCCCAGGGTCTAAAGGGTAGGTGTTGAGGATCAAGGTTCAACCTAGTAAAAATAACCCCTTCCTATAGGGGGCATGAAGTCATTGACACAAGAAGTGAGCCATCAGAAAGTGGCCCAGTGCCTTTGCTGTGAGATTTCTTCATCTGATGATTTTTGTCCCATAAGGACATAGATTAATATGCACTCCTCACCCCTATCCACCTCTTGCCCAGGGTGCTCTGTGGAGCAGAGAAGAGCAGGGAATTTTTGTTTGTGATTATTTAGTGTTTCCATTTTTTAACTCAATGTGAATTATTATTACAATTCTTATAAAAAAATATCAAAGGGATTCTCGTGCTAACTAAAAGGCTGGTAGTTCGAACCCACCAGTGTCTTCTTGGGGGAAAGATATGGCAGTATATGTCCATAAAGACCACAGCCTTGTAAACCCTAAGGGACAGTTCTGCTGTGTCTTACAGTGTCTCTATGAGTTTGGGTTTGGGTTTTCTGAGATTTTTTTCCTGGTCTGGGAGGGCAGAAGGAGCTCTAGGGCCAAGAATGAGTGAGTTGGAAATTAGCTTTCAACTCTAATTGGTCTTTTCTATGTATAACACCCACCACCCATTTCCAGGGGCCTTGGGAAGTCCTGTCTCCCCACAGAAACCTGTTCGCATTAAGAAGGAGGCCCTAGCAGGAGAAGGGACCAAAATGAGAAAGACAAAGCAGAAAGGTAAGACTGGTCTTCAGAGGAGTAGGGGACTCTGGGTATGGGGGACTGTGACCCTTTCCATCCACACACACACACATGCAGAGCCTGTCGAGGCTGACGAGGACCTGTCAGTGAACCCTGCCAGAGTGAGGAAGAAGATCCCAGCCGCCATGTTTCTGGTTGGGGAAGGTCGCCCAGCTGAGAAAACTTGGAAGAAGGAAGGTGAGTAGCCATGACCTCTGGTGCCCTGACATCATGAGACAGTTCTGGGGGTGGAGAGCTAGGAGATCCACACATGATGTGGTACAGTGCAGGGTAAGGAGTGGATTCTAAAATCAGATTTAGAGGCATCTGGACCCCCACTTTAGTAGCTATGTAGCCTTTCTCAGCCTCTGATAATAATATAGACTTGACCCTCTTGATGTTGTAGGAAGGGTCCAAGTGACACATGGGTGTTAAAAGTTCTTTGAATACCATGAAGTGCTCCAAGGTAAGGGGTCAACAAGCTTGTCCCCGACCCCTCCATGCCTAGGTACTTTCAAAGGTCCAGAAGAAGACAGGACAGAGGAAGAAAACGAGGAGGAGGAAGTGGCAGCTGTGTTGACCAGGAACAGTAATAGGAAAGGAAAAGGCAAAAAGGTTTGGACCCAGAGGTGAAGGGTCCACACATGTGTTGCCATGAGTGGGAATCCACTTAATGGCAACTAACAAAACAATAATAGTAGTAACTAACCCTTCTAAAGCGCTTACTATGCCCTCAGCATCAGTAAACTCCCTTAGATAGTACCTGCATGAAGGAAGATCTTCTGAAGACGGGACCTTCAAACTAGACAGGACTCTGGAGGCTGGACAGGATTCAAATCCCAGCTCTTCCTCTTATTAGCTATACTCTGGACAAGTTCCTTCACGTCTCTGAGTCTAGGTTTTGTCATCTGTAAAATGGGAACAACTACCTCAGAAGGTTGATATGAGGACTCAATGAGTTAATATTTGCAAAGTTCTTAGAACTATGTCTGTATAAGAGTATCTGTTTTAATTCATAAATTAAGTAAGGTCTGTCCCAGGTATATAGCCCCATCCCTACTTATTTCTCTGAAAGAAAAAAAAAAAGTTTTAAGTGTGGTTAAAACTTAACATGGCAGACAGAGTGGTAGAGTTAGGATTTGAACCCAGGCTGTCCAGATTCAGAGCCTGGACTCTTAGCCACAAGCTACACAAGCTTCCAGAGCCTCCTAACATGGCCATGTTGGGCTGGCTGTTGGGAAAGTGTGAGGGGGCAGCTTCAGGAGACTCAGGTCAGGGCTCTAGCCAGCTTCTCTGTTCTCTCCAACAGAAACTGGTGAGTGGTCCGGCCTGCCCTGCCTGTGTCCCAGCCCAGGGGGCCAGCTAGGGGCGTGGCTGGTGTCCAGAGCTGATGCACCCTCTGCTCCCACCCAGAAGGAAGAAAGGGCCCTTTCCACACCTTTGGAGGTGGATGAACCTGGAGAATTTGTGCTGTTGCCTGCCCCCCAGGGGCATACAGTGCGCTGCCGGCTGACCCGAGACAAGAAGGGGATGGATCGAGGCCTCTATCCCTCCTATTTTCTTCACCTAGACATGAAGAAGAAGGTGGGTGGGGTGAGGTGAGAGTGGAGGTGCTAGGATCTGGGCTGAGGGGGAGTCTAGGACCAGGAGGAAGGAAGGGTTCAGGACAAACAGACCTTCTCTTTCCCTGCAGCACACCTCCTGCCTCCACCTCATCTTCTCTTTCAATCTTCTCACTGGTCCCCCTTCTCCAGGTGTTTCTCTTGGCTGGAAGAAAAAGGAAACGGAGCAAAACGGCTAATTACCTCATCTCCAGTGACCCTACCAACCTGTCCCGAGGAGGAGAGAATTTCATTGGGAAGTTGAGGTGGGGTTGGACTTACAGAGGCTGGGTCAGCCAGAGGGCATCCAGCAGACATCTGCCCCGTGTGTTCACCACACTGAACACTGAGGAAACACTAGGCTAGTCCCCTAGCCTAGGACTCCTCACATTCTGATGTGCACAGCTTACCTGGGACCTTGTTAAAATTAATATGTGAGTCTAAGATTCTGCATGCCTACCAAACAGCCAGAAGGAGCTCTGGTAGCGTAGTGGTTACGAATCAGGTTGCTAACCTCAGTTCGAAATTATCAACTGTTCCATGGGAGAAAAATGGGGCTTTTTGCACCTGTAAATATTTACAGCCTCAGAAACCCTGTACAGGATCAATGAGTCAGAAGTGACTCCACGGCACACCACCACGAGGCAGCGAGGTGATGCTGAGACTGCTCATCCAGGGTCCTCAGTTGGAGCAGGGAGTAAGCGTTATGAGGACAGGGTCGGATTGTCTTGTTCATAGCTGAACACCAGACCCATAGTAGCTACTCAGTAGTTCCTGAGTGAATGAATGAGTAACAAATACTCAGCCCCTACTGAATGGAGTCCTGGTATGATGCTGGAGGATAAGCACTAGGCTGCTAACAGAAAGGTTGATGGTTCACACCCACCAGTCAGCCACTCCTTGGAAACCCTTACAGGGTCACTAAGAGTCAGAACTGCCTCGAGAGACTTAACAACAACTGTATGCTATGGCGCTCTGGTGATGTCGTGGTTATGTGTTCAGGGGCTAACTGAAAGGTCAATGATTTTAACCCACCAGCCGCTCTGTGTCAGTTTGCTTCCATAAAAACTACAGCCTTGGAAGCCCTATGAGGCAGTTCTACTGTGTCCTACTGTCCTACAGGGTCACTGTAAGACAAATTAGCAGGATGGCAATGGGTCTGTTTGGGCTGGGTTACTCCATACTATACCTGTATTTGTTATCTCATGGAGTCCTCACCACAAATCTAAGAGGTGTGTGTAGGTGAACCCCTAAGTCAGGCCTTATTTTATTTAACAAACACTTATAAAAGGTCTACCTATATATCAAGGTCGGCGGTTCAAGCTCACCAGCCATGCCTAGGAAACCCTATACAGAGTCACTATAGGTTGGAACTAGCTCTATGGCACTTAACAACAACAACATGTATCAAGGAGTTCTGGGGGTGTCACCATTAAGCACTCAGCTGCTAATGGAAAAGTTGATGGTTTAAACTCACCGAGTGACTTTGCAGGAGAAAGAGTCCTAGAAATTTGCTACCAAACCAATTACAGTCAAGTAAACTCTGACTCATAACAACCCTGTAAGACAAAATGCAACTGCCCCATAGGGTTTCCAAGGCTTTAATCTATACAAGCAGACTGCCATATCTTTCTCCCATGGAGTGACTGGTTGGTTCAAGCTGCCTACTTTTCAGATGACAGCCAAGCCCTTAACTACTGTGCCACAGGGCTTGCTCCTATAAAGATTACAGCCAAGAAGACGCTATCAAGCACTTCCACGCTGTCACATAGGGTCGCTAGGAGTCAAACATTGACTCAAAGGCACCTAAACAATAACAACCAATGTATTAGACATCATTCTAAGTAAGTTCCAAGTAGTAACTCAATTAATCCTCGTATCAACCAAATGAAGATACTGTTAATGTGCCCATTTTACAGATGGTGAAACTGAGGTTCAGAGCAGCTAAATAACTTGCCTAAGGTCATCCAGCTAGGAAGAGATATAACTGGGATTTGAACACTGCCCAGTCTTTTGTGTAGACCTTCCAAATATCAGTGGACTTGTAATGTTCTGTCCCAAAACACCCCCTTCCTTGGTTTAGCAAGCTATCAAACTACTTGGCTCTGAGGAAGGGTTTTAGGACAAGTGTGTGGAATCCCTTCAACCCCTCCCTGGATGCAGGTCTAACCTCTTGGGGAACCGCTTCACAGTCTTTGACAATGGACAGAACCCAAGCCATGTAGGAGGAAGTGCTGACGTGGGGAGCCTGCGTGAGGAGCTGGCAGCTGTGATCTATGTGAGAACTCCCCTATCCCCCATGGCACCAGGCCCCTTCCCTTACATGGGCTGGCCTAAAAGGCATCTCCCTCCCAGGAAACCAACGTGCTGGGCTTCCGTGGTCCCCGGCGTATGACTGTCATCATTCCAGGCATGAATGCGGACAATGAGAGGGTCCCCATCCGGCCCCGAAATGTGAGACCCATGCCTCCCTGATCCCCATTCCTGAGGGTCCCGCTTCTCCTCAGGAGGGCTGAAGAATGAGGGGTTAGCTTGCCCAACACCCAACCCCTCTAGCACACACCTCACCAGCAGCCACAATTCACTCTCCCAGGGCTCCTTACTGCATGCAAACTGTTGAATGATTTCAGATCTTTTTGTACTTGAGTTCACTAAGTCAGAAACATTGGGGGGGTTTTTTTGTTTTTCACAATTTACATCAAATCACTCGTTCATTTAACACACATTATGGAGTGTCCAGTCTAGGCACCTGGAAGACATCAGTGGGCAAAACAAGGGCTCTGTCCTCACGGAGCTGGCATTCTACTGTAGGGAGACAGACAGTATCTCCTTACACTAGAAAGACAGACAATAATTATGACATAAGTCAATAAGTATGTTAGAAGGTGAAATACTATAGAAAAAAATTTAAAGGGCAATTAGAAATGTATATTATGTACTTTTCAGTACTAAACAGTAGTCTGAGAAGGTGAGACTTACATAAATTCTTGAAGGAAGTCAGGGAGCAAGCCTGCAGATATCTGAAGGGAAAAGCATCCAGTCAGAGGAAACAGCCAGTACAAAGGTCCTGAGGGTGCCTGGTGGGTTTGAGGGACAGTGAGATGGCCAACATCACTGGAATAAGGAGGTTAGAAAAGCAAAGGGAAGGGGGAAGATCAGGCTTTTACAAGAAATGGGAAGCTATGATGCTGACCAATTTCTGCAGAGCTTCCAGACTAAGACAAACTAGAAAGGAAGGCTTGGTGCTCTACTTCCAAAAATCAGCCAGTGAAATCCCGAAGGATCACAGGACTAGACAGCATTTCCTTCCATTGTGCTCTGGGTCACCATGAGTCAGGAGGTGGCTCAATGACTGCTAACAACTACAACAACAACCAGCAAGGTTTTGAGCAGAGAAGTGACAAGATTTGACTGATGATTTTAAAAGCAATCGGCTATTTGTTTTATGTGCATATTATGTATGTGGGAGAACCCTGGTGGTGCAGTGGTTAAAATGCTCAGATGCGATCTGAAAGGTCCTTGGCTCAAACCTACCAGCCACTCCACAGGAGAAAGCTATGGCAGTCTGCTTCCATAGACTTGGAAACCCTATGGGGCAGTTCTACCCTGTCTACAGGGTCACTCTGAGTCAAATTCACCCATGACAGTGGATTTGCTTTAATTTTTGTGCATGTAGGAAGTTTACAGTAGAATGGAGCAATGTACCAGAGAGAGGTAGCTTCCCACAGAATGTCAGCCCTGTCGTTTGGGTGAAGTACGATGTCAGACTGAATGACTTCTATGTCCTATAGTCAAAGACCAATGTCACTTTACTAATTTACAAGGAAAAATACCCCAGCCAGAAGGTCACACATCCTTTCTGCTGTGACGTCCCACCATAATCAGAGGCTCGAGAGAACCCTAGGGCACCAGTGTAGGAGGTACTGGTCTTCTGTTCCCTCAGCCAAAGGCCACTTACAAAGCAGGACCAAGCTCCCATTTCCCTGCCTCTGCTTTGTCATCCCACAAGCCATAAAGCTCCATTTTAACAGATGCCCATTCCACCCATGTCTGGAGTAAGCACACAAATCCTCCAGAGACAGAGCTTCCCACTCTCGCGTGAGCTTGAGAAGTGCCCAGTGTCGCTTTGTGTCTATCCCCCACAGTTGATTCATTCAGTAACCAGTCATTCTGAAAGCCATGGTAGTTCAGTGGGAGAATTCTCACCGACCATGCAAGAAACCTGAGTTCAATTCCTGGCCATTGCACCTCATGTGCAGCCACCACCCTTTAATCAGTCGAGGCTGTGTGTTGTGACAACGCTGAGCAGGTTTCAGTGGAACTTCCAGATTACGACAGACAAGGAAGAAAAGCCTGGCAATCTATTTCCAAAAATCAGCCACTGGAAACCCTATGGATCACAATGGTTCATTCGACTCCAGATCATGGGAATGATCCATTCGGTTGTGCATGGGTAACCCTGAATCCGAGGCTGATGACAGCTAAACGCATTGCTGTTGTTAGGTGCCATTGAGTCGGCACAGACTCAGTGACCTTATGCACAACAGAATGAAACACTGCCTGGTCCACATAGTCAATTTGCTAAATATGTACTCTATGCCAGGTACTAGAGACCCAGAACCTAACAATTATCATCAAAATAATATCTGACATTTACCAAGCCCCTACTCCATGCCAGAAAATGCTCTAAATAACACTTTGTGCACTATTATTTACCCTCACAAAACCCCTCGTGAGGGCAACAGACAGAGATGTTAATACAATACCATACCTGTCCTTCTTGTTTTGTTGTTAAGTGCCATTGAGTCAATTCTGACTCACAGTGACCCTGTATAGGGTTTCTGAGAAGCAGCTGGTGGTGCCCATAGAACATCTAATTCTGTCCGTTACAATGCAGGGGGTAGGAACAAGGTGTTATGGGAGCTCAGAGTGGGATGTCTAAATCTTGAGTCAGGAGGGCTTCTTGGAGGAGGTGACCCATAAGTATGAACAGGTGACAGGAAACTCAAGAAGAATATATCAAAAGCACCATAAACAGACCTTACTCCCTCTTTTCAGAAGCTCCTGCAAGAACACTTTATTTGAACGATTGTGTACCAGTCTGTCTCCCCAAGCTGGACTGTGAGCAACTTGGTACATCCTAGAATGTCTGTTATCAAGTACTGGCATTCAGCTGTTTCCTATGGCCCTTGATTTCCAATGGCACTGAGCACATACTGTGTACCAAATGTCACTTATATGTCAGGGCCAAGCTTCTATTATCTCCCCCTCTGCCTTGACACCCACAGACCATAAAGCTCCATCTTCACAGATGTCCATTCCATCCACAAGGACACCACAGAGACAAAGCATGCACTCAAGGACGCCCTGAGCAGATGTAGATGTTCAGGCTATGCCCACATACTTACCCAGTGGTCCTGGGTTTTGCCGTCACTAACTATCCTCTTCCTACCCACTTGCCTGGACACCCCAGGCCAGCGATGGACTGCTGGTACGTTGGCAGAATAAGACATTGGAAAGTCTCATAAAGCTGTACAACAAACCACCTGTCTGGAATGAGGACAGTGGCTCGTACACCCTCAACTTCCAAGGTCGGGTCACCCAGGCCTCGGTCAAGAACTTCCAGATTGTCCATGCTGATGACCGTGAGTATCTGAGGGCCCAGGCCAGATTCTTCACCCCTTCTCCCACCTCTCTCTCTCTCTCTCTCTCTCTCTCTCTCTCACACACACACACACACACACACACACACAAGCCTAGCAAGGCCCTTTATCATTGGAGCTGGTGCTGTGCTACCAGAAGCCTCGAGACTCAGAGTTCCAGGTACTCACCCAGCAGTAACCAGAATTCTGGGGGTTTTGTTGTTGTGATGTGCCGTGGAGTCAGTTCCGACTCATAGTGACCCTGTACAGGGTTTCTGAGGCTGTAAATGCCTCATCTTTCTCCCGCAGAACAGCTGGTAGTTTCGAGCTGCTGACCGTGAGGTTCGCAGCCCGATCTACCAGAGCTCCTTAGAATTCTGGGGTAGATACTAAGAAATACTGGGTAAGATTGTGCTCAAAGAAGAGTTGAGCTGCTAAAGTTTGAAGACCACTCAAGGTTCCTTAGTGATCAATGAGGGCAGCCCCTTACCCAACATCTCTTAGTTCCTTCAGGCATTTATACCAGCCCCAATTTATATCACAAACACACTGCTTGTCTGGAATGAGCTTTCTGTGTCAGGCACTGTTCTTAGGACTTACAGACATTGAATTATTTAATCATGACAACAGTCCTGTGAGGAAGGTACTATTATTATGCCTAGTTGACAGATAAAGGCAAAGAGAAGCTAAGTGACTTCTCCAAGGTCACATAGCTAGTAAGTGGTAGAGCTGGGATTAGAACCCAGGTAGTTTGGTTCTACTGCCCTTAATTTCTTCAAAATGGCTGCTTTTTAGGAGCAGGGATTTTTTAGGAGCAAGCATTTCTGAGTGTGTGTGGCACTGTGGGTTAATGTGCTGGACTGCAAGGTCAGCTGTTCAAGCCCACCAGCTCAGCTGTTCAAGCTCACCAGCTGCTCCTCGGAAACCCTATGTTGTTGTTAAGTGTCATCGAGTCAGTTCTGACCCATAGCAGCCCTGTATAGGGTTTCCAAGGAGCAGCTGGTGTGCTTGAACCTTGCCCCCTACCCCCCCCCGCCCCCACCGACCTTGCAGCTCAACGAGCTTTGCAGTCTGGTGCATTAACCCACAGTGTCATACCAGGACTCCCAGAAACCCTTTACAGTGTCGCTATGAGTCGGATGAACTCTACATCCCACCACACTTAGTAACAACTTGATGTCTTCTTTTAGAGGAAGTACAAAGCCTGCTGTCTAGAAGTTAGAGAAATATGTACCCAGAACAGAATTAGGTAAAAAGTCCCTGTTACAAGTCTGGGGGAAAAGACCCCCACTGCGATGAAGAAGTTTGAAGAAGGAAGGATATCACCCAAGGGATTCTGGGTTCACTGTGTGGGGCTAACACTAAGCCCCCATCCCCAACTGTCTCCTAGGGCTGTCCCTCCCTTGTCATCTGTCCCCTGGCCTTGGAAAACTGCTACTAGATCACTTTTCTGATGGATCCTAGACTGCAGAAGTTGGGGGCATTTTTAGCAGCTTCCTGTCCCTATGGATGCTGGAGAGTTCTTGGGATGAGGCTGAAACCTGGGCCAGAGATGAAATGGGGACCGAGTGCAGCAACTGGATGAAGGGGGAATAAGGGACTAGTCAAGAGATTGTGCCTTGGGTGTTCTGAGCTTGGGGAAGTTTGACAGGGTCCTATACTTGATTAAAGAGCTAGGAGGAAGATGAGAATTTCTGCTCCTGCAAAGATTTACAACTTGTAACTCCTATATAGGGTTGCTATGAGTCAGAAGCAATTCCAAGGCACTTAACAACAATAACATACTTGATGTTGTTAAGTGCCATCAAGTCAATTACGACCCTGTACAGGGTTTCCGAGGCTGTAAATCTTTAGGGGAGCAGAAAGCCTCATCTTTCTCCTGCGGAACAGCTGGTAGTTTCAAACTGATGGCCTTGAGGCTTGCAGCCCAATTCATAACCACTACGCTACCAGAGCTCCTTAATTTGATTGTGTGTGTGTCGAGTGCTGTCGAGTCGATTCCGACCCATAGCAACCCTGTATAGGGTTTCCAAGGAGCAGCTGGTGAGCTTGAACCACTGACCTTGCAGTTCAAACGGCTTTGCAGTCTGGCGCATTGTGTGGTCCTATGGCCCTGGGTGGTCCAGGGATAAAGTAGTGTCCTTGCCCTCTGGGGATTATATAATGAAGGAAGGTAAAGCTGCAGGTGAGGCTGATTGGGGAGAAGAGCGAAGTGTACTTAATTAACTGCGAGGTGACTGAGGGTTGGGCTCCCAATGCAAGGGAGAATGACATCAATATTGAGGGCATTGCCTACCAGAACCGGGGTCCCAGAAAGTCTCAGCTGCCCCCATTCCTGTTTGTGCCGACAGCTGACTACATCGTGCTGCAATTTGGCCGCGTGGCGGAGGACTCCTTTACCCTGGACTACCGGTATCCGCTCTGCGCCCTACAGGCCTTCGCCATAGCTCTCTCCAGCTTCGACGGGAAGCTAGCCTGCGAGTGACCTCAGCGCCGTCAGAGCCCACCAGCGTGGAGGAAAGACTTGAGTAAGGTCCCTTTCACCAAAACCCTCACGAGGCAGACTCTTCCCTTATCAGGAGCTAACCCTCACAGCCGCCCTGTGACCTCCATCCACTCTCCAACCTGGCACCCGGCGAGGCAGAGGAGGAACACAGAACACCGGTCCAACAGAGATGAAGAACATCTGGAGTTGGAGTTGCACATCTGGTCGCGGAGCTCGCCTGTACCACCCCTAATCCCCCCCCTCCCCGCACCCCAGTCACTTCCTGTCCGGGAGCAGTAGTCGGTGTTGTTTTAACCCCCTCAGGACCAAGTTAGGGCTTGGTGAAGCTCTGGCGGACTTGAAAGGGGTAGATGATGGGGGACGTGTAACCCACATCACCAATAAAGTCGCATAGACAAGCAGAGCTGTGCTTCTTGCAGTGCAAGCGGGCGATCTAGCTGGTGGGAGGGTCCGGGTGCAGGAGGGGTCTGGAGAGAAGGCTGCACGCCTCCCCACACCCAGGTCCCGCCCCAGCCCCGGGCGCTCCCGCGTCCCCTCCCCCGCGCCTTCGGCTTGTCCTACCGAAACTCCGCGGGCGCGCAGTGTCGAGACGCCCCCCACGGGGGCCCTGGGCTGAAAGGGAGGCCCCGGTGGTTCGGGAAGAGGGGGAAAGGGGGAAATTTGAGAAACAAGCCACTCGGGGAGAACCAGACAAACCGGGTCCGGGCGAGGCGGGCGCAGCCGCCAGGGCGGGGCCGGGTCTGGGGCCCCGGTAGTGGGGGGCGGGCTGCGGGTAGGAGGGGGCGCTCCACCCCGGCGGCTCGGGTCTTGGGGGAGGGGGACACATGGACCCCCGGAGCCGGTGCGCTCGGGCTCGGCCCGGCTTCTTGTGACGCGGCACCCCAGGCCCCCGGCACCAACGGGAGTCCTGCCCCCAAGGCGGGAGCTCCGCCCTTGGCCCCGCCCCAGTTCCGAACCCCAAATCTGATGCGGCACTGAGAAGGGGGTCGAAAGGCTGGTGTACACGGGGAGGTTGGGAAAGTTGCACGGGTGGAGGAAGATAGGGTACGGCCGGACGCTGAAGGCGGGGAGCAGCCAGAGATCTAGATGCCGGGGGCTAAGCAGCCAAAGCGCCTGTGGAGGGCGGCCCCGCCCCTCCCGGCAGGTGCCCGCCCCCCGGCGTGCCCCGCCCCCTCCTTCCCCGCAGCCCCCGCCCCCCTCTCCGGCTCCTCAACACAAACTTTCCGTCCCGCTCGCTCCCTCCTCCGCGCCCGGCGCCTCCCGCTCCAGCCCGGCTCATTCCGCACATTCCGGCCAGCCCCCTCCCCACGACCCCCCTCCCCGGCCCCCCTCTCAGCTCCCTCGGGCCTGGCGGAGCGGCCCGGCCGGAGCGCCCCCCCGAGCTCGGACCAGGTAAGCCCGGCGAACGCCGGGAGGAGGCCCTGCTGAGAGAGGTTTGGTTGGTCGGTTCTGGGTGGAGGAGGGCAGTCGAGGGGGACTGGAGTCCCGAGCTATTGTCCAGCCTGAGCCCAAGCCGGAGCCCCGGATCTGGGTGCCGGGAAGTTTAGAGAGAAGGGGGAGAAAAATCTCTCCGGGAAGCCCCGCCCACTACCACCCCGCGTTCTGGATGAGTTGGTCCCGGGAGGTTGGGGGACCGGAGAGTTTCCCCCGTACCATCTCCTGTCCCTCTGCCTGCTTTTGGGGTGTTAGGGCTAGGTTCTGGGAGTCGCAGGTTTGCTGGGGCCTGCCACCGGGGAGCTCGTACCCGGGGTTCCCAGTCCCGGGCCGCGACGCCCTTTGGACTCCCGGCTCCCGGCCCGCGCTCTCCCGGCGCCGGCCCGGCCCCAGCTCCACGCAGGCCTCGGGCCCGGCCTCTCAGATCCCAGGCCGGCGCTGCGTGCGGTGCCCGCTACTCCGCTGGAGTGGGAAGGGCGTCTGGGGGCAAAGCTGCGAGTACTGAGTGTAAACCCCGGGAGAGGCAGGGTCTTCAGTTTCCTTGCAGATCTGCCTCCTGCGTCGTTGTGGGGGCCCTTGATCCTCCAGCACTGAGCTCAGTGAACCGAGTGGAGGGGGCTAGATTTGGGGCCTTCTCTTAGCCACACTTCCTAGGGCCCTTATTTAAACTTTAGAGAGTTTAAGGGCAACTGCCCCCCACCTCTCACCCCAGTCCCCCGCCATTGTCTGTCATGTCCTTTATTCCTATCTGGGGAGGCATGGCTAGGGGCTGCCTGCTTGTGTGTGGTTGCCCAGCAAAGCGCGAGGCCCTAGAGCGGTGTCATTGAGACCCTGCCCTGTCACCTTTCCGGGATAGGGGCCCTGATCCGAAGCTGAGAGATTGTTTCAGGGCAAGAGAGAATGAGGCCTTGAGTGAGGGCTTCTCAAGGCCGCCTCCTTCTGTCTTCTCTCTCTCCAGGTAGAGGCGGAACCAGGTCAGGCCTGGACTTGTAGTCCAGGAGAGCAGGGGATAGGGGTGGGGGCTGGACACAGCCCTGAGGGGCTGGTGCCCATGGCGGATCTGTGTATCTGGTCTTTAGCGGCCTGGTTCTGTGTGTACACATTCCACCCCAATGCAGGGGCAGGACACATCCATGTTGGGGATGCTGGGGACAGCCTGGGGCAAGGAGGGAAAGTAGAGCTCCCAAAAGGCTGGAGATGTGGAGGAACTGTGTCCCCAACCCTTCCAGATTCCTGTAGCTCCCTCTCCAAGACCCCTTTTCTAGGGTGTGCTCCCCTTGTTGCCTGCCAGGACTTAAATCTGTGGTCTTCTGGAAACCTGCCTATTCTGGGCAGAGGATGGACAGATGTATCTTCCAAGACTAGTCTATCTGGTGGGAATAAAGGTTACTCCAGGGGTCCATGGTGCCTTTTCCTGAGCAAGGGGCTGTGAGCCCGTGTAAATTTCAGCTGCATGGGCCTTTCCTGACTCCCTAGGGAGGGAGCCATAATTAATGCTCACTAGTGCATATGGGCTGGATTTCTGGTGTGGCGCTGTGGATCAGCACTGGACTGCGAACCACAGGGTCAGTAGTTCAAACCCACCACCTGCTCCTCACAAAGCCTATACAGGGTCTCTGAGTCAAAACCAACTCAACGGCACTTAACAATAGCAACAGTGCATATGGGCTAGAGAATGGTCAGTGGTTGGCAGGAGAGAATTGTCTGGGATGGGGTGGGGGGGGGTCCATCTGGGTCTGTCCATCAGGGGACCTGGACTCTGCCTCCCAACCTCACCCTGTTTTGCAGCCCCTGACACAAATAAGGGGGCTTCAAAAAGTTCATGGAAACATTTCATTATCTTTCAATTCTATTCTCCCATGAACTTTTTGAAGCCCCCTTGTACATCCTGCCAAATAGGAAAACATTAAAGCCAGAAGAACATCAAGAAATTAGGGATCTGTTGCCAGCTTTGTCATCTTGGGAAGGGCCCCTTTGGGCCTCTGTTTCTCTGTTTGAAATAGATGGCTTCTCAGGTCTCTTTTCTCTGAGCTCCGGCAGAAGTCCCTTCCTCTCAGTCTGCCTGCTTTCTCCCATTATGGAATCCGGACCTGGTAAGGTCTGGAGAGGAGGATGAGGTGATTGAAGGAAGATGGTGAGGACAATCCAGGGGGACAACTGAAGAGTAACTAGATCAACTGAGCCTGGCTGAAAGGGTTGCAGGTGAAGTTGGGGAACTTTCCATCTGAAGTGGTAGTGGCCCTGGTGGGGTCTCGGAAGGCAAATGGCACAGGTGGTAGTCAGAGGTCACTTAGATGGCCAGCCCCTCTGTTCCACTCCCAAACCCTCTGGGACAGAAGCTGTCATCTTGCTCACCTCATCTTTGCTCAGGAAGGGAAGAAAGGTTGTCTCACGTGAGGAGAGTGGAAGAGGTCTCTCTGATGGTTCCAGACCAAGTGGGGGTTCTAAAACTCTTCTTCCCACCGAATTCTGCAGAAGTTGTGAGGTCCTTGAGGATCCAGGTCTCCACAGACCTCTGGGGCCATGGGAGGAGTTTCTCTCATCAGAGTTAGGGAGGTCAGCAGGTCACACTCAGTCCTGTCACCATGGTGTTGTGCCAGGCTGAAGAGGGTCTACAGGAGAGCCTGCTGCTCCTCTGGAGGGGAGACTAAAAGCTCTGCATATTCTCCTGGGGACCCCACAGGGAGCTAGAGGCCAGGACCAGAGAATTCCATCCCTAGACAAATCTCCCCGCCCAAGCCCAAAGGATTGTGCACTGGTTAAAGCACTCTACTGCTAACTAAAAGTTCAAACCCACCAGCCACTCCGTGGGGAAAAGATGAGGCAATTTGCTTTGATAAAGATTTAAAGCCTTGGAAACTCTACGGAGCACCAGTAGAGGGCTTATGGGTATGGGTGGGTTTTTGTGTGTGTGTTTTAACAGATCCCCAAAGCCTCAGCCCTTGGGGTTTCCTAGAGTACTGATTGTTTCCTGTACTCCCCGCCAGGCCTGAAAGGACAGGAAGTGATAGAGGGAAATGAGAGTGCAACAGTGTGTGACGCTGGATATGTGTGTGTGTGAGAGAGAGAGAGAGAAACTGAGTGGGACAGTCTGTATGTGACACCGTGGTGCTGGAAGTGTGTGAGAAAGAAATCAGGCAGAATGTTTGTGTGTGTGATTATGAGACTGAATAGATATATGAGAGAAACTTACGTGAATTATCTGTGACTGTGGCATTCACACGTGTGTATGAGAAACTGACATTTCTCTGTACTTGAGAGAAACGGTATTGAGGATGCCCTTTGTGTTTGACAATGTCATATTGCATGTGTATGTAAGAGAAGCTGTGGGTGATTTTCTGTGTATGAGTGGCTGTCCCAGTCTATATGTGTATGATAAAAATTGTCCTTGACCATCTGTGTATGTAGCCGTGTCTGACACTGCTGTCGTGGTAATGCTGTTCGTGTGTGTGAGAAGCTGTTATGGTGACATTGTGATTGTATCATGCTGTGTGTGGCTATATATCTATAACACTGTATGTGAGTGTCCGAAACAGAATGAGTGACATTCTGTGGGACATATGCTGTTGTCATTTGACCACTTTCGATGCGCTATGTGTTTGAAATAGGCTCCGGTTTGTGAGAAACCGATGCTGATTTATGTAGGTGACTATGTGACAGTCTGAGAAGAGCTCCATGAGAAACTCTGTGATTCCATGGTCGTGTGTGTATGTGTCTGTATGTGAGAGAGGAACACCAACATGACACTGTGGACTCCATACCTGACACGGTTTATGTGTGATCAGCTGAGTGGGAAAGGAAGGTGGTGTGTAGGTGAGGAGCTCCAGAAAGAAACTCTATGTGCAGTGCTGCATGCGAAGGAAACTGCGTGGGGTGTGACTGAGACTGTGCCTCTGTGGGTGGCCACTATCTGAGACTGGTTGGGACTATTGGACTGTGGGTGACATCCTTTGGGGCTGTGCCAGAGAGGGTGTGGGACATGATGTAACACATTTGGGGGCCTGTGACCCCAATACCTATGGTGTCTACATGAAGGACCATGGAAAAGTACCAATTAAACCAAAAGGAAGAACAGCGGTGCAGGAGAGAGAGGAGGGCAAGCAGAGTGGAGTTGTCATTGGGGGCTTGCTTGGCTGACTGACCTGAGGCAGCTCTGTGTGTGACCCAGAGTACACAGAGGCTTAGGTGTGGCCACTGATGTGTTAGCTGAAAGAATGACAGGCCTAGTCCCTGTCCCTGCCTCCATTTCTCCCTCACTAGGTCCCTGGTCCTAGCTGGGAAGGGGACAAGATGAAGAGACAGAATCCAGAATGGAGTTTGAAGGCTTTGAATCTACATACACACACACACACACTGCACCCCATCACTGCTCTGGTGGGGGAGTGCCAATGAGGATGAGCACTGGAGGAGGAAGGGAGAGCCCCTTCCCCAAGTAGTGGTGGGGAGTGGGAGCAGAGAGCCTTGATTCCCAAATTGGAAGCACATTAGTAGGCAGGGGAGAGGGGCGGGGAGGCTCCCACCTCCTAGTAGGCTCTGCAAATTGCTTCCTCCTGTAAAAATCTAGACCCTGCTCCAGGGAGGAGGGTGCTCCCTCCCCAGCCTGGTGGGGTGTGGCCACTTGGCAGGGTCCCTCAGGAGTCCTTGGGCTGGAGGTGGGGGAGGCAGACACTCCCCCACCCCCTTCCCTGCCCGAGTCTGGTCCCAACCAGAGCGTGGCCACTGCTAGGGTGGGAGCTTCTGGCAGCTGGAGAACAGCTGGGCCCGCTGAGGAGGCGGGTGGGGAAGAGGAAAGGAAAGGCAGAGGAGGTGGGAGGCTCCCCTAGTCCTCATAACTGCCCTCTCCACTCCTGTGGTTGGTCACTCTAACTCAGGTTTGGGGGCAGGGCAGGGGCCTTAGGATGCGCCCGCTTATTTCACCCATGTTCCTCCACTGAGAGCACTTAGGGGTTGGGACCCCTGCAGGAGTGAGTCACTCCCTCAGCTTGTCCTCCTAGTGGGGCTGGTGCCCACCTGTCTCCTGTGTCTGTCTGGTCTGTATCCCCTAGCAGGGCAGGAGCTGTGAGGGATGCCTGCTTCACACCTGTCTTTCTCTCCTCGTAAGGGAAGAGTGAGGCTGGGAGGTCTGGAACCTGCAGGGCCCCTGGGAGTAGGGGTCCAGGGCCCTGCAGCAGCCCCAGCTCTGGCCTCACTCCCTAGAGCTGTCCAGCCAGTTCTTCCAGCAGGTCTAGCCCCAGGGTGGGGAGTGGACAGCCAGGTGCCCCTTATCTCCCCCAGGGTCCCAAAGCCTGCTCACCCAGCCTCTTAGCCCCCATCCCTGTCACCACCCAGGGGCGCCTTCTAACCCTAAAGGCTGAGGGCCCTGGAGAGGGGAAGCAGGTGTGGCAGGGTCTGGCTGAGAGTACAGACTGAGTGAGTCCCCAAAAGAGGCAGGTGGGACATGCAATGGCAGTGGCCCTCTGCAGAGGGAGGTGGGAGGTGGCTGTTAGAAGGCAGAAAGGGGAGCAAGTGGGACAAGATTGGGGACGTGGCCCTGTGGCGACTGGCACACAGTGTTCTCCCTGTCATTCCTTCCCTGTGGGTCTCCCTACCCCTTTCCTTCTGTGTCTCCTGGCTTGTCCCTTCCCTTCCTGCTCTGTGTCTTGGTCACCTCCCCTCTCCCTGTGTCCGCATCTCTCTGGATCTTGGCCTCTGTAAGTCCTAGTTGGTCGACCACTCCACTCTCTTTTCCTTCACCCCACCCCCACTGAAACTGTCTGTCCAGTTGAAGGTCTCCGCAGTTTCTCCCAGTGGATCTCACTCCATGGTCCTCTCTCTGGTCCTTCTGTCTCCTGGCTGTCTCTCCCTGGGCTGGTTGGTTTTTGTCCCTCACTCTCTGGGATTCTCTTGTTCTCTGTTTCAGTCTGTCAGGGTATCTCTAAGTGTGTCCATTCGTCTTTCTCTTTGTCTTTTTGAGTCTGTCTCCCTTGTCTTTGCTCCCACCCAGTCTCTGCCCACTTGGTGGTCCCATAACCCCTCTCCCTTCTCTCTCTCTGTCTGGGCTCCATCCTCACCTCCTGGTCCTCACTTGTGTCTTTTCCCTCTTCCCACATAGCCCAGCAAAGCAGAGATTCTAGTCACCTGGGAAAGTGTCAACAGGCAGCCTCTTTGTACAAGGGGAAGATAAATACATACCCTGGACTGGGCTGTCACCCCAAGGTGGCCTGCCCTCTTTCCCCAGCCAGCTTTCTCTTGACTCCTTGCCCCTCTCATGTGCCTGAATCACACAGTAGTGTCAGTCCAGCCCTGTCCATGTCCCACAACCTCCACCCTCATCCTCAGGGCAAAGAAGAGGAAGCTCCCCATCCCCTGGCCCTGTGAAGTGACCCTGCGAAGACCAGAGCAAGCGGCAGTTGTCCCTCATGCCAACTCACTCACTCCTGCCCCTCCTGAGGGGTAGGTGGGACCAAGAGCTCAGGGCTGCCTAGTCTGGTGCTATGATGTGAACACCTCATCTTGGGATGTGTGTGTGTGTGCAAATATTCTCCTTTGGGGATCATCCTGAGCACCCACACAGCATACTTGCACATTTATGGCTCTGTGCATTGCTTTGTATGAGGGTCACCTGTGTTTCCCCGAATTGAGTTGGTATCACTGCCCATAAGAGTGTTCCTGGGAAGTTTGGCATGGAAAGCTGAAGGGACGCAGATAGGACGGTGGTCCCTTTTCTCTACTTGACTCACTCCTCCTGTAGCCTCCCCTCAGCTCCCCTCCCCCTCACCAGCTGCCAGCGGTCCCAGCCAGGGGCCGCCTGCCCCGCCCCCCCCAGTTTGTCCCAGCTCCCTAGCGCTGCTGTGTTCGCCATATTTGGCCACAGTGCTCCCGCGGGGGGCGGGGCGGGGTTGACATCACCCAGAGAAGGGGGGGCCACAGACTGTATGAGGGGAGGAGCGCAGAGACTTGGGGGAGACAGGAAAGTTGCTATTTAAAGTCAGGGCCCCCCATGTGGCCGATCCCCTGCTGCTCTGAGGGAGACCTCAGGAAAGGATTTGGGGGGAATTTAAGGAGGAGCCATGATGATGCAGAGGTTAAGGTGCTGCTAACTGAAAGGTCAGCAGTTTGAACCCACCAGTGGCTCCACTGGAGAGAGAGCTGCGACAGTCTGCTTCTGTAAGGATTTACAGCCTTGGAAACCCTCTGAGGCCAGTCGGCTCTGTCCTTACAGGGTTGCTAGGAGTGGACTCCTTGGCAGTGGGTTTGCTTTAGGATTTGAGTTGAAGACTTCACTAGGAGGGGGTCTTAGCAAATTGTAGATTCTCTTCTTCCTCCCATCTGACAGACCCTAGGCAACGGTCAGCTAGGGGAGGCCCTGCACCTTATTTCCTCAATGTGGGAGTTTCTGGGTCCCCTAGGGTCCCTCTGCCACTAACTTTGCACACCCTTACCCCCTCAACTTTTTATTCCAGGAACTGTGCCCCAGGGACTGAGCAGAGTACAGAATATGGGATCTAGCTACAGACTTGTTGGAGTGAGGGAAAGGTTGGGAGTTGGGGTGCCCTGAGTGTGATCTTCTGGCCAGTCAGGGGCAGGGCTCCCTTACTATTCCAGCTGCCCACTGACCACAGGAGAATGTATTCCTGGTGGTCTTGGAGTCCTTATAATAAGAGCTATACAGCAGTCGTGGGGGGGGGGGTGCGTTGCGGCTCTTGAAATTGCTCCAGCCATTTGGACTGAGGGGGGGATACCTAGTCTAGACCCCACTTGTCAGACTCAGGGTACCATGACAGCAGGAACTGCTTTCTCTTTCTAGGGATAGGGTTTCTTAGCCCCACCTCTTACCCCACTCAGTTAAAGACTGAAGCCACGACGCCTGGGTTCAGATCCTAGCTCCAGTTGTGTGCTCTTAGGCAAGTTTCTTATCTATTCCTTGATTTCCTCATCTTTAAAGTGGGAATAATACTGTTTGCCACATAGGCGGTCCTGGTATGGTGCATTTATAAGCTCTTAGTTTCATACCCACCAACAGCTCCTCAGAAATCCTATATAGGGTTGCTATAAGTGGAAACCAACTCTACGGCAGTGGATCAATGTATGTAAACTCGCAGAACAGTTCCTGGCGCTTGGCAGGTGCTGTGATTGATAGTTAACATTCACTCTATATGAATCTGACATTCAGGCCCTTAGATCCTCTCTTTCCGTTAGTGACTGCTGCCACCCCCTACAACCCTCCCTCAATAAGTAGGAGAATCCAACCCCCACTCACAAGACCTGGAATTCTAAGGGGAAAGTGTTCCCATTTCTAGCTTCTGAGGTGATTCCTACATCATCCCTGCTTTGTAGGATCCCAGCAGAGTCCCAAGTCTAGCCCTTGTGGACTAGAAGGTGCTTCAGGACCCAATGTATCTCGGCCTCTAGGCTGTGGGCTGAAAGGGGCTTAGAGTGAGCCTTAGGGCTGTGTGCTGAGGGGGACTGACTGGGTGTGGTCTGAATTAATAATCCAGTCTCGTGTGTGCAGGGAGCGCTACACTTTACAGAGCCCTGACCCAGCCTCGTTGTGGGACAGGGCAGGGGCAGGCATGTGGGTGGTTTATGGGCTGCTGTAGGACTGGGGAGGTGCAGGAACAGGAAGTGGGATGGAGTGATCAAGTGGGGTTGAGCAAGGCTGTTGGCTTGGCACCTTCTCAGCTGCTCCCTCACTAGCTCCCTTCTCAAAGGTCCTGCCCTGTCCTCAACCAGGGTCTCCTTAGTTCTCAATCTGAGCAGGAAGACCACGCTCATCCCTCAGCAGGGTCACATTGATGCTGGGGAGAGAGTTCAGACCATGGGGTCCCTGATAGGGAATCTGAAGGAAGAGCCGTCTGTGAGAGCCCAGGAGTCTCTCTGAAAGCCCTGCCCCTCTCCTGTTCCTCTTCTCTCTGCTCCAGGGCTTCGAACCGGTTCATTGTAGTTCAATCCCTGCTGAGAATTTCCTTTTTCACCCCAACCTGTTGTCTTCGAGTGGATTCTGATTCATAGAAACCTTACAGAACAAAGCAGAACTACCCCGTAGGGTTTCCAAAAACAAGGTTTACCAAAGCAAACTACCTCATCTTTCTCCCACAGAACAACAGGCTTTGAACCACCAGCCTTTATATTAGCCTGTCCAATGATTCACCCACTAGAGCCATCAGGGCTCCCTTTTCCAGCCCAAATTTACTGAATCACAATCTACAGTTTAACAAGATCCCCAGGTAATTCTTATAGATCCCTAGGTGATCTTGTTAAATCTTGTAAAAATTCTGATTGGGTAAATCTGGGCTGGAAGAGCAAGTTCTCAGCAGGGTGGTCGAACCAGAATGAACTAGTAGGAAGCCCTACTCTGCTCATCCTGATGCCTTTGGCAACTGCCTGACCTCGTGACTCAGTTTTCCACCTTCCCTATCTGCCTCACAGCTTTTCCCCAACAAACGTTGTGTATCTCTTAGGGATTGTTGGTGGTGTACTGTTTTTTAATGTTATGAGCTGAGCATTGTGGTTATGGGATTTTACTTAAAGTTTAATCCTCACAACCTCAGGAGACCTTGTCTTCCTTTTACAGAATCAAGGCTCAGAGAGGTGTACTAACTCATCCAAGGTCACACAGCTCTGAACAAGCATGACCTCTGGTGACTCCTACCCTACCCTGGAGCACCTGCCTCAGGGGTGGGGTTGGGAGTGGAGGGCTGGGCAGTGGTGCAGAGCCCCAGGCTGGAGGCTGAGGCTCGGTGTGGTCTTAGAGGAGATGGCCCTAATCCCTCTGTGTCTGTCCCCCTCATCTTCACCCCCCCAGGCTCAAGCTGCCCAGCGGGCTCAGGCCCAGAGCCCAGAGCAACCAGCACAATAGCGTCCAACAGCTGGAACGCCAGCAGCAGCCCCGGGGAGGCCCGGGAGGATGGGCCCGAGGGCCTGGACAAAGGGCTGGACAACGATGCGGAGGGCGTGTGGAGCCCAGACATCGAGCAGAGCTTTCAGGAGGCCCTGGCCATCTATCCTCCCTGCGGCCGGCGCAAGATCATACTGTCGGACGAGGGCAAGATGTACGGTGCGTGTGGGTAGGCAATGGGGCACTGGACAGGCCAGAGGTGGGGGTGGCCTGACCCTTCTTGCTGTCCTCCTGCCCTTCTTGCTGTCCTCCTGGTACCACCCCCTCCTGCTCTCTGCCCCTCACCTAACCGGTTTGGCAAAGTGCTAAGAGAAGGCTGAAGGCTGCCAGCGCCCCAACACGGGCGAGTCTGGGCGTGCAAGCCTGTGTGTCTGGATCCTCCTCCGCGCTGCCTCCTCATAAACAAGCCAGGCTTGCCCCCTCTGCCATAGCTCCACCCACACTTCTACACCCACGGCTGCTCCTCCTCTCCTCTCCCTCCTTACCACTGGCCTGGAGGTTTCGGGGTGACTCAGTGGGCCCAGGAAACTGGGTCAGTCCAGTCTACTCCAGGCTCAGCCTGGGAGAGGGTCCCTCCTTTGGAGGAGGTGGGGAAACTCCAGGGGTGAGGCCGAGCTCTGGTTCCCACTGGGCGTGCTCCTGGTCATCCTCCAGTGTGCATTGGGAACTGGTAGGGCTACAGAGGTGGGGGGACGCCAAGTGTGGCAGGGCCTGTTGGGGAGAGAGCTGGAGAGACAGGGGACTCGGTCACTCCTTAGAAGCCTGATCCCTGCCCACCTCCACCTCCCAGACTCCACTGCCCTCCTGGCCTACCTCCTGCCTCCAGCAGGGAGTGTCCCCTCTTGTCCAGCGCAAGAGGGCTCTCCCGAGGACTCTCCCAGAGCTGCATTTTTGGGATAACTTAGTCCTTCTGAGCCTGGCTTCTTGCCAGCTCCCTAACAGCCTATGACAGGATGAGGTAGGCCCTGGGCCATCCTCTGGCTTTCAGGACCATGGTAGGCTAGAGGGAGGCAGCTGGGGGAAGTGGCCTAGGCACCCCAGGTCCTTTGCCCTCACCTCCTTTGCCACCCCCCGATCTCAGCACCAGAGCCCTATGCCTGGGCAGGCAGATGTTTCCGGACGCCTGCATAGGGCAGGGGCTACCTGCCCCCACTACTACCTCCCAGATGGCTGGGGCAGCCCCACAGGGTATTTTTAGACAGGGCGGAGGGAGTGCAGTGGAGTGGAGGGGCCAGTGGGAAGGGAGGAGCAATGTGCTTGGCTCTGTCATTGGAGAAGAATTTGGAGAATGTGGCCAGTTCTGGGGAGACCACAGGATTGGGGGGCAGGCGGCCTGGATTTGGGGGGTAAAGTGTATGAAGATGCCAACACACGCTTAGCCATGTGTCCTCATGGTGCCGAGTCCCTGGATGTTGGACCGCTTCTTTTCATAGCCTAAAGGCCCTCAGGGGTTCATGGTGTTGAGTTGCCCCAAGGCTGATAAACAGCTGGATTTTTTTCTCTCATAGAGTGGGAGAGACACTGGTAGCCAGTGACCATGGGGTAACAGACCCAAGGACACAGTGACATGCTCAGTGACACATCATGACACACAGGCTGTCAGAGCTGGAGGCATGCTGTAGATCGTCCTGTCCTTCCTGCCTCTTTCACCAGAGAGAGGAAGGGACTTGTCCAGGGTCTCCTCCGTGGCAGGGGCAGGGCTGGGACCAGAATCAGATCCAGAACTCTTTCAGACATTCATGGAGACATGTGCTGAGAGGTCTGCCACCTGGGGTGGGGCTCACTCACACAAGTGTGCGTATATGCACACACACTCACACTCAGATTTGGAGTTGGGAAAGAGGCAGCACTGCTGGGGGCTGGGTGTGAAGGGACTCTATGCCGAAAGAGGCCCCCTTGGCTCTCCACACATACAGCCAGCTGTCCTGCTGACCTGCGGCCACACCTGGCCCTGTCTGTCTGCAAGAAAATCTGTCAGGGCCACTGAAAGTTGTTCCTCTCTTCCTTCTGCCCACTCTGCCCTGAAGCTGTCTCTGTGATCCCTTACTGGCCCCCTCCCGTATGAGCAGCTTCCCAGATCCTAGGATGGGGTGGGCTGGGGTGGGACAGGGTAAGAGGACAACACCCTTTGCCTGCCCTGCTTGTGCCTCCTGAGGGGTAGTTGGAGTGAAAAGAGAACAGTGTTTTGTATGTAGTTTCCCTGGGATGGGAGTTCTCCAGCTGCCAGCTCCACCTTTTCTTTGCCCATTCCTCATTTCTTTCTCTCCCCCGAATCTAGGTCGGAATGAGTTGATTGCCCGCTATATTAAATTGAGGACGGGAAAGACTCGGACGAGAAAGCAGGTAAAGAGAGGATTTATGCTGTGCCCCCCTCCCTCCCAACCCCTCCCCGCCCATGGTAATCCTCTCAGCAGCTTTATTAACCCCTTCTACCACCCTACTTGGACTCCTGGTGTAGCACTGTAGGAAACGCACTGTGTCTGCAAACCACAAGGTCAGCAGTTCAAACCCACCAGCTGCTCCTCAGAACCCTATACAGGGTCACTATGAGTCGAAACTGACTCGACAGCACATAACAATAATAATACCACCACCCTACTCTGTCCAAAGCAGCCCTCTGAACAGTGGCTGCCCAGCCTCGCTCCCCTTTAGGTTGGCTCCTGCCCTCATTTCTCCAAGCTGCTTCATCACTTGTCTTATTCTGCTAAGAAGATGGCCCCGTTGTCCCAGAGAAAGGAGACACCATCCCCTCTGATCACTCACTGCCCTGCCCAGGCCTTTGGCTCAGGGACTATAGAGAAACCCTGTGGTCATTACTTTGAGGAGTCTATTGACTAGTTGGGGGGACAGATGATTGGCTGGATGAGGGCTGGACAGGCCAGCACAGTGGAGGGGGAGGGGAACTGTTGGCCACTCAGCTAATCCAAACCTGGAAGGAGGGCTGGGAGGCTTCCCAGAGAGGGCGACACCTGAGATACATGTGTGTCATGTCCCAATATGTTTAGCAAAATATTTGCCGTTTCAGTCCTTTTGGTGTGTACAGTGACCTTAATTGCATTCACTATATTGTGAAAACCATCACCACTGTTGTTTCAAGATGTGTTTTTGAATTTTTTTTAATGTAGTGAAAATGGAATAGACACAACCAAACTTATACCAATTCGTCATGAAGATGTATTTAAAAAGGGGACGGAATTAGCCAGGCAGGGAGAAGGGGAAAGGCCCTTCTAGACTGAGGAAGTTCCACAGACAGATATTAATCCTGGTGAGCCCACCCAAAGCATGCTCTCTGTTAATGTATTGAATCCTTGCAGCAGCCTTACCAGATAGGCACAGTCATGATGTCCATTTTACAGATGAGGACACTGATGCACAGGGAGTTCAGAACCTTCCGCAAGGTCACTTAGCTGGCAGGTGGTGGATCCAGCATTCAGCCCTCTGCCCGCAGTGTGGTATGGTCTGGGGAGACGAGGAAGAGATGCAGCTGGAGGCAGGTGTCCCCTGAGGATAGTACCAGGTGTTAGCAGTGTAATGATGTCTCTGGCGCCATGTAGCCAATGAATTGGAGAAAGCCAGGCAGAGACAGGGAGACTGTCCAGGAGGCTGTTGGGGACCTGGATTGGTAGTGATGTGGCACTGGGAAGTCACAGAGAGAAAAATAGTGATTTGAGAGATGACTGATGGTCTCGGGTCCAGGGAGGGTGGCACACAGCTAAAGGAGCCCAAGTAAGCTCAAGCTCCATCTGGATGGAGTACCTGGAAGTCAGGCAGGGAGGTAGCTCTAAAAGGCACAGAGCTGAGAGAGAGGCAGGGCTGGAGGCTGGCACCCAGAGCCTGAGGACAGCTTGATCCCCACACCTCCAACCTCCAGGTCTGGACAGTATTTGGACTATGCACCCACACTCCCCAGAGCTCCCATGTGTGCAGGCAACAAGCTTGGCCTATCCAACTCCCACCTCAACAGGTTTTGAGGCCCCACCCAGGGTGGGAGGGGAAATGATCCCCTCATTGGTGCAAGCATTTATTAGCCACCCTCCTAGCTCATATTACACAGCATTATTCATTAATTTATTGAGCAACTACTATGTTCTAGGCACTAAGGATACAGCAGGGAACTGGACAGACCAGGGCCCTATTTCCTGGGAGCCTGGGGCTACAGGAGAAGTAGTACCTGATGGGTAAGAGCCCAGGCTCAGAGGGCAGACCCCTGGGCTCAAATAACCAGCTCTCCTACTTAGAAGGGAGGTGCTTCCCTCCAGCCTCCACTTCCTCAGCCATTAAATTAGTTAATATGTGAAGACACGTAGAACAGAGTAAGCACTGTTTGAGAATTTACTGCTGCTGCTATGTAGACTGAACAATCTGCAGTCAACTACTCATCTAAAGGTTGGCAGTTCAAACATGCCCACCAGCACTGTGGATGGCCTAGTGATTTCTTTCTGTAAAGACTACAGCCAAGAGTAGGACCCTATCCAGAGAGCCAGCGACACCAGAGATGGAGGCAAAGATGAAGACATGGAGAGAGAGAGAGCAGCTGAGGACTCTAGATTCGTGGAAAGAGAAAGATTGAGTGCTGGTGGCCAGGAGGCAGACTTACAGAATGTGCCCTTTGGTTGTTTAAATGATTATATATTCCTGAGTGTTTTTGTGTACATCCCCCCCACACACACACCAAAAAAAAAAAACAGAGGGAATGGTAACAAATAATTTTGAATGATGATACACAGAGAAGATTATAATCATTTCAATGAAACGATGAGTGTAAAACCAATGTTCTCGCATATAAACTATCACTCAATTAACAATAAAAACTTTAGGGGAAAAAAAAATACAGCCAAGAAAACCCTCTGGAGTAGGGCTACTCTGTAACACATGGAGTGGTCATGGGTCACCACCAACTTAATGGCAACTGTTGTGTTTTTGCTTTGCTTTGTTTTGTTTTTAAGCAGCTATAAGGTCTTTGGGTGGTACAAGCATTTTGTGATTGGCTGCTAATCTAAAGTTTGGCACTTCAAACCCACCCAGTGAGACCACAGAAGAAAGCCCCAGCAATCTGTTTCTGTAAAGATGGCACTCAATGAAACCCTATGAGGCAGTTACTCTCTAACACATGGTATTGCCATAGTAAGAATCTACTCGCTGGCAAGGGGTTTTTTTTGTTTATTTTTAATAGTCCCAAGCTGGGAGCAGGGCACTCCCAGCATGCCTCGCTCCTCCCTGGAGAAGTATTTACAGGAACCTGCTTGTCAACGCGTGAGAGGGCCAAGGAAACGCCAAGTCCAGTCACTTTGTCATATGAAAGAACCTGGGCCCTGAGATGGAGCGTAACCCCAGCCCAGCATCATTTCTGCTCCTGAGAAGCCTGACTTTACAGACCAGCTGCCAGCAAGCTTAGAATTTGAAAAACTACTTAAATCATTTTGCAAGGCCAGGCCTCTCTAACTTTAATCTCTTTTTATATCTAATAGCCCCTCTAGAGGGGTTCCAACCTATGACTGTGAACACCAGGCGTGTCTTCATGTGTTGCAAAGAGCAGCCAATTGGCAAACTGTGGTTGTTTTCATGTTACTTCCCATAAGGAAATGCAGTTTTAGGCTTTTATTTCCCTAGATACATCTGAGTGTAAGTCCCAGGTAACATCCAACTGACATGGAGTTAAGTTAGCTTTTGAACTGTCTCCCGTCTGGAGGCAGCTAGGCCTCTCTCCTGATGGTTGAAAGGAGAGATGCAGTAGCATAACTTGGTGAAGCAAGTGGGCTCTAGGAATCAGTCTACCTGGGCTCCAGCTGTGTGACCTTGAGTGAAGTTGCCTTACCTCTATGTGCTTCTGTGTCATCATCTGTAAATGGGGGGATAACGTTAGTACTGAGTTGATTCCTGTAAAGTGCTGAGAACAGGAGGACCTGTGCTCAGTAAATGTCAGTGACTGTCATGAAATCAAGTGATTTGTCATTTTCCTGGTCACCTGTCTGATTCCTGAGAGCTGTTGGCAGTGAGAAGAGCATCAGGGGCTGTCCACCATCACATACATAGAACTTTCAGACCCATGATTAGAAAGACAGGAAAAGAAACCATTTCTTTATAGAGATAAAAGCAAAGTGCCAAGAAAGCCCATGGCAATTGCTGATAATAAAAGTATGAAGCAGCCTAGAGGATGTTGTGTTCTCTAGTATAAACAGTGGGTTTGAGTTTGTCCTGGTGAAGGATCCAGTCCTTGACAACATCAAGGATCTGCTGTGTAAACCAGGCCTGCAAGCCTGGAGCACGCACTGAGACAGTAAGTAGCTCACATTTGTTAGACAGCTTCAGAGAGAAGATTGCTGGGAAGAAATGCAATTGAAAGCAATGGTTATGAGTTGGGCTGCTAATCTCATAGTCAGCAGTTCGAAACTACCTGCAGTTCCAAGAGAGAAAGATGAGGCTTTCTGCTCACATTAAGATTTACAGCCTCAGAAACCCTATACAGGGTCGCTATGAGTTGATACCGACTCCACAGCACATAGCCACCACCACTCTGCATGGGAGTCCTGGTGTGACGCTGTAAGATAAGCACTGGATTGCTAACCACAAGGTTGGAGGTTCAAACACATCAGCCGCTTTGTGAAAACCCTATATAGGGTCTCTGTGAACCAAAAAACACTAGACAGCACTAAAGCACAACAAACAACTGCATACATGTACAAAGCCCTGGTAGCACGATGGGCTAGGTGTTAGACTGCTAAACACAATGTCAGCGGTTCAAAGCCACCAGAAGCTCCACAGGAGGTGGTCTGCCTATGAAGATTTACCCCTTCAATGCAGAAACCTACATAGGGTTGCTATGAACCAATGCCTCCACATATATATCCAGTGGAATCGACTCGATGACAGTGGGTATACATGTGGAGGCATTGGCTCTGTGGTAGCATGCTCGCCTTTTATGTGGGAGACTCAGGTTCAATTCCCGCCTAATGTACTTCGTGCCCAGTCACTGCCTCCACCTCCTGTCCCTGACGGCTTGCATGCTGCCATGATGCTCAGTAGGTTTCAGAGGCGCTTCTGGACTGACAGGTTGGGGAAAAGGCCTGGACATTTACTTCTGAAAATCAACCAATGAAAGCCCATCCTGCGGCTGACAATCGTCACCGTGAGTCTGGGGCTAACTTGATGGCATTCAACATCATCAGCAACACTACATACATAGAGTGTTGTTAAGTATCATTGAGTCGGTCCCAACTCATAGCAACCCTGTATAGGGTTTCTGAGGAGCAACTGATGAGTTTAAACTGCTGACCGTGAGATTCAAACCGACCTTGTGATGGAGTGTTTATCTTACAGCGCCACACCAGGACTCCATACTGACATATATTAGTCCAAGGAGAAGTGAGGCAGGTTAAGGAAGAAGGTATATGAGCAAAGCAGGAGCAAGACCAGGACTGGCTCTACAGGCCAGCAAGTAGTTAAGGCGGATGGGATGGCATGGGCAGGGGAACAGGGGAGCACATTGGTAGTGATGCACTAATCCAGTGGTCAGCAGGAGGGTCATGGCCATTTCTAGCCTCACTGATGCCAACTAGAAAAAGGTACCTCCTACAAGGACGCCAGGAAGAAACCTTCCCTTTTTGATGGGGGAAAACCAGGAGAGAGGTCCTGGGGTAGATGCATGCCTGTACTAGGACACGTGAGTTGGCCTTCAAGGCTTGCGCTGGATTTCTGCGTTGGGTGAACAACCTACACAGCTGTACGTGGTAGTCTTGGAAACCACGGTAGGCTCTTGGACAAGGCCAAGAAAAGAATTGGCATGGCCAAGAGGTATCTGCCCTCAGGGGTCCCCCCAAGATGAGGGCTGGGGTGCCCTTGCCTGTGGCCATGCCGTGGCTGTGCCTCCTCACTGTGTGTTTTCCTCTCTGGTGGGGCGCGGGGCGGCCCCTAGGTGTCCAGCCACATACAGGTTCTAGCTCGGAAGAAGGTGCGGGAGTACCAGGTTGGCATCAAGGTATGTTGGGCAGCAGGCCCCTCCTCGGCCTCCACCACGCTCTGCACAGCTCAGGCCTCCGCCTTGGTCAGCTTCCGGCTCTGTCCTTGCCTCTCCTTCTGCTCTTTCTGCTCTTTCTCTCTCTCTCTCTCTCTTTCTCTACAGGTCTCTAGCCACTTGCAGGTTCTAGCCAGGCGGAAATCTCGGGAGATTCAGTCCAAGCTGAAGGTACGGGGTCCCCTGACACACCCCCTCTGGCCTGTTGCTACTTTCTGACCCCAGTCTGGAGCCAGAAGAGGACTGAGGAACAGTGAGAAGGCCTCAGAAACCCGGTACCAGCAGGAAGCCCAGAGGCCGCATCAGGCTGTAGCTCCTGGGGACAGAGCTGAAGTCCAGGGGACAGCCAGCCCTACAGTGAGGGAGAGAGACACCATCTGGGGGCCACTAAGGCCCATCTCTCCTTTTCTCCATTTTCCTTTTCCTCCTTCCTCCTAAGTGTTGCTTGCTAATTGCATGGGGACTTCAGGTGGGCAGCAGGAGACGTTGGGCAGTACTGGCTGGTTGACATGGTAATTCCTTGCATTAGACCCTCAGTCCAGCTGCTCTGTGGCCGAGGATCTAAAAGCCTGGGCTTGATGACCTCAGTCCGGGTGCAGGGTCCCCAGTAGATGGGCTCCTCCTCTCCCTGCCCATAGCTGCTCAGCTGACTGGGTCTCCCACCTTCCCAACCCCCATACCTATAGTACAACTCCAAAGGACATAGACTCAAAGGGGCACCAGGTTGGACAACTGTCCAGGTTTCCGGCTTGTGCCTCCTTTTCCAGGGCACCCCTAGCTGGCAAGCACTCCCTCAGGGAAATGGGAGTGGGGAGGCATGCTGTTATGGGTGGGGGTGGTTCACAACTGTATCTCAGGTGGTCTGGACTCTTCAGGACTGAGAGCCAGGTGGGCATTGGGTGGAGAAAGGGGAAGGGCTGCTCCCGCCCCTTATCCCATGCAGCCCTTTTTTGTGTCTTCTCTGATATGTGCCCCTCTTTCTTTTTCAGGCCATGAACCTGGTAAGTAGTCTGGCCCGCCCTGGCTGGGGTTGGGGAGTGAGAAGGAAGTTTTAGCACCTTGTATCGAATTTTCTAACTGTGGATTGGGAATCGATTTTTAATAGGTTGCAAACAGCATTTTTTTCCTTTGATGAAATAAACAGCTAAACCTCCCATTCCATATTTCTAGGCATAATGATCAGTGATATTGGCTAAATTTTTCAACATTCTCATTAAATCTGTTCTAGTTGTTCCACTTGTATTAACGTAATAATCCTGACCCCCACCCCTAACCTTCTTACCTATGCTTTAAAATAGCTGTTGATCCTTTGGTCATATATACAGAGAGTGAGTGAGTCCTGATGTGGCACCATGGGTTAATGCTCTGGATTGCAAGGTTGGTGGTTCAAGCTCACCAACTGCTCCTCAGTAATCCTATGCAGGGTTGCTGTGAGTCAGAACCAACTCGACAACAACTTATACATACATACATACATACATGTTGTTGTTAGGTGCCATTGAGTCGGTACCAACTCACAGCAGCCCTATGCACAACAGAATGAAACACTGCCCCGTCCTAGGCCAACCTCACAATTATTGGCCATGTTTGAGTCCATCGACACAGCCACTTGGCCAATCCATCTCGCAGAGGGTCTTCCTCTTTTTCGCTGACACTCCACCTTACCAAACATGATATCCTTCTCCAGCAACTGGTCCCTCCTGACACTATGTCCGTAGTATGAGAGACAAAGTTTGGCCATCCTGGCCTCCAAGGAGCACTCTGGCTGCACTTCTTCCAGCACAGATCTGTTGGTTCTTTTGGCAGCCATGGCACTTTCAATATTCTCCTCTAATACAATAACTCAAAACTCCCTAGTGTAGCACTGTAGGATCACACTGAATTGTGAACCACAAAGTCAGCAGTTCAAACCTACCAACTGCTCTTTGGAAATCCAATACAGCGTTGCTATGAGCCTGAACTGACTCAAAGGCAATTAACAACAATAACATATACATACATGCAAAGTCAGTTTAAAATGCATGGTCAGCGGTTCAAGGTCACCAGCTGCACCTCGGAACTCTGTACAGGGTTGCTATGGGTCAGAACCAACTCCATGGCGCTTAACAACAACAAAAAATACACACACACACACACACATATATACATATATATATACACATATCTATATATATAAAGTTGCTGTTGTGGGGCGCATGGTGGCTCCATGCACTGGACTGCAAACCACAAGGTCTGCAGTTCAAGCCCACCAGCCACTCCATGGGAGAAAGATGAGGCTTTCTGCTTCTGTGAAGACTGAGTTGAAACCAGTTCAATGGCACTTAGAACACAAGTTTCATCTTTCTCCCTCGAAGTAGCTGGTGGGCTCAAACCACTTAGGGTAAGTAGTTCAGTGCTTATCCTACAGAGCCATCACTGTGTTCCATATGGTGGTTGTGTGCTACTGAGTCAGTTCTGATTCATAGTGATCCTGTGTAGGGTTTCCGAGGCTGTAAATTGTCACAGGAGCAGAAAACTTAATCTTTCTCCTGTAGAGCAACTGGTAGATTCAAACTATTGGCCTTGTGGTTAGCAGCCCAGCTCATAATCCACATAATTGTTGTTGTTAAGTACTGTCGAGTCTGTTCCAATTCATAGTGACCATAGGGTTTCTGAAGAGCGGCTGGTGAGCTTGAACCACCAACCTTGTGATTCAAACCGACCTTGCAGCCTAGCTCATTTATTAACCCAGAGCGCCACACCAGGACTCCAATATATGTGTGTGTATATATATATATATATATTTTTTTTTTTTTTTTTTTCTTTTTCTAAAAGTAATATACTATTTGAGGTGACACTCTTTACTTTTTGGACTAAACTATTAGTATAAAGGTGCCAGCATTTTTTAAATATAATTTTTCATTGTTGAAATTAAGCGAATCAAAACAAACACCCATTCAGTTGCTATGTGTACAATTTCGTGACATTGATTACGTTCTTCAGTTACAATGATTTTCACTCTCCTTCTCCGAACTGTTTCTCCACCATTAATGTAAACTCGCTGCCCCCATGCTTCCTGGAGCCCTGGTACAGTGCTATAGGATAAACACTGGACCCCTAACTGCAAGGTTGATGGTTCAAATCCACCAGCTGTTCTATACAGGGTCACTGTGGGTCGGAACCAACTCAATGGCACTTAATAACAACAACAAGCTTCCTCTCTAACCTTTCAAGTTTCAACCAGCAGTAAAAACAGAAAAACACAGTGGTTCTCAAACTTCAGCGTACATCAGAATCACCTGGTACTGTTAATGTAAAACAGGTTGTTGGGCCCCAGCCCCAGACTCTCTGATAAGTCTGGGGCCTGAGAATTTACATTTCTAACAATTTTGAAGGTGAGACTGATACAGCTGTTCTACTTTGAGAGCCGTTGATGAAATAGAACAGAAAATGTGAGAAATGTTTTGGCATCTAGTGGATTACAGTATAAAATCATTTCTTGCTGTGAGTTGTACACTTTAGGGAACAGGCTCCGAGAGGGCTAGTGACGCTCACAAAGCCACAGGGCAGAGCAGAGTAGGATCTAGCCCTAGCGCTCAGGCCTGCCTCACCCAGCCCCTCTCTTCTCTAGGATCAGGTCTCCAAGGACAAAGCCCTTCAGAGCATGGCATCCATGTCCTCTGCCCAGATCGTCTCCGCCAGTGTCCTGCAGAACAAGTTCAGCCCACCCTCCCCTCTGCCCCAGACCGTCTTCTCCTCTTCCTCACGGGTACCAGGGGTCCTGAGGGTGGGATTGGGATAGGGTTTATCTTAAGGTCTGGGCTCTGGTGGGTATCAGGGGCACTAAGAGACCTTTTGGCTTTGTCCTGTCTCGGCAGTTCTGGAGCAGCCCCCCTATCCTGGGACAGCAGCCTGGACCCTCTCAGGAGTGAGTATGGTGGCTCATTCTCCCCACATCCTCTTTTGTGAGCCAGGATGGGCTTCCGTCCACCTGGCTCTCAGAAACAGCTGAGCAAACTTTTAACTACAAAATGGAGGAATGGAGTGTACCAAAGAGCTAACCCATCTGTCTGTTTATTCACTTGTTTGTTCAGTGTTCAACCCACTCTTTCACTTAAACCATCCATCCTCTTCTTTATTTCCCCTCAGTTAATCTCTGAGTCAGTCTCAGTTGAGTTAGGTAGTCAAGTAGGACGGTGCTTAGTTTCTTACATTGTAAGACAACTTTCATCAGAAGATACAGCCTCTGAGAGTTCAGTGAGCAACTTCAGGATGGGGCTGGAGTGGGCACAGTTGAAATGTTGCATTAAATGTTCACATAAATCGTGAGGTGCCATAAGATTTCGTCAATGTTATGCTGTAAAGAAGACAAGCTTCTGAGTTTGCTTGTCGGCAGGGATTTCTGGGCCTCAGCAGAAAGACTCAGTGGCTCTCTACTGGGATCCTGGGTGAGGGGCACCGTCAGCAGGAACGCCTAACCAGGCTATGCTCTCTCGTTTGCAGCATCAAGCCCTTTGCACAGTCAGCCTACCCCATCCAGCCACCCATGCCGCCAACACTCAGCAGTAAGTTCCCCACACAGCCACCTTGGCACCTGCCTCTGCTCAGCTGTGTGTGTGCTTGCTTTGAGAAGGACGGGTGGGCGGCACCTATCCGGGGTGGGAGTAGGCCGGGGATAGTTGCTTTATCTTTTACAATATTACTTCTAGGACTCTGGCACACAATTGCATAGTCAACACAAAGTTACAAGTTCTCCCACTTATTTATATATATGTGTGTATGTGCATGTATATACACACATCTAAGGGGACTTCAAAAAGTTCATGGAGAAATTCCATTATTTTTTCATTCCATTTTCCATGAACTCTTTGAAGTCCTCTCATATATGGATAGAAAACTTCCTATAAGAAAATACAGCAGAACATACTTAACAAGGCTTTCTGTGTCTGGGCAGTTGGATTCTGGGTCGTTCTTATGTTTTCCTTTTCACTTCTCTGTGTTTTCTATTTGAACGCATATCAATAGTGAGGGAGAAATAACTGATGTACTAGGAGCGCCACCACACGTGGACACCTGACCCACAAGTCTGATGGGAGTCAAACTCCAGCTTGTGTTCCTCCTCAAAGGGGTGCTGTTTTCTGTTTGCACAGAGGCTCTGTGCAAGCTGGGGCACACACCCATGCACATGTGGGTCTTCTCACACCCCCCAGGTTACGAGCCTCTGGCCCCGCTGCCCCCAGCTGCTGCCTCTGTGCCTGTGTGGCAGGACCGCACCATTGCCTCCTCCCGGCTGCGCCTCCTCGAGTACTCAGCCTTCATGGAGGTGCAGCGAGACCCTGACACGGTAAAGTGTTTGGAGTGGGAGACTGTGGGCGAACTCTGACCTGCTGACCTGTGGCCACAGCTGCTGGCTGACAGTGGGGGTCAAGAAACCCGTGCAGCCCCCAGCGCGCCTGCACTCTCGGGTGTTCTCCTGACCCTGTATTGGGCCCTCCCCACAGTACAGCAAACACCTGTTTGTGCACATCGGCCAGACAAACCCCGCCTTCTCCGACCCGCCCCTGGAGGCAGTGGACGTGCGCCAGATCTACGACAAGTTTCCCGAGAAGAAGGGTGGGCTGAAGGAGCTCTATGAGAAGGGGCCACCGAATGCTTTCTTCCTCGTCAAGTTCTGGGTGAGTTCACTGGGCCCACCTCACTGACCCCTGACCTGCCTTGTGTCCTGTGGGCACATGACACCCTCCCTGTCCCACCTGCAGGCCGACCTCAACAGCACCATCCAAGAGGGCCCAGGAGCCTTCTATGGGGTCAGCTCCCAGTACAGCTCGGCTGATAGTATGACCATCAGTGTCTCCACCAAGGTGTGCTCCTTCGGCAAGCAGGTGGTGGAGAAGGTGGAGGTGAGTCGGGGCCCAGGCGGCGTGGTGGGGTTGGAAGCCAGCCCATCTGGGTAATAGCTGCCCTGTGACTGTCTAGACGGAGTACGCCCGGCTGGAGAATGGCCGCTTCGTGTACCGCATCCACCGCTCACCCATGTGTGAGTACATGATCAACTTTATCCATAAGCTGAAGCATCTGCCCGAGAAGTACATGATGAACAGCGTCCTGGAGAACTTCACCATCCTGCAGGTGAGAACACGGGTAGCAGGGGCACATGGCCAGATCCATTGCTCAGATGAGACTGAGACTAAGTGGCCTGTTCTGCCTGACCTGTGGAATCTTCCTACCTGCCCCCTAGGTGGTAACAAGCCGAGACTCCCAGGAGACCCTGCTCGTCATTGCTTTTGTCTTCGAAGTCTCCACCAGCGAGCACGGGGCCCAGCACCATGTCTATAAGCTTGTCAAAGACTAGGGTGCCTTCTTCCCTCCCACCACCAGGATCCAGGATGAACATCTTTTCCACACACCTGCCTGGCACCCCTGTGGGGTCCAGGACTAAGGACACATCTGCCTGCCAGGCCCCAGGTCAGGCCCCAGGAGCCTCCCCACTTAGCCCCACCACACACACTCCCTGCCACTGTTCTGCGCTTTAATTGTGGGAGAAGCCAGGAGGGCCCAGCAGTGGGAAAGCCTACCCAAGACACAACCCAGAATCTCCAGCCCCCAGCACTGCTCTGCTCTGCTTCGAATGATCTCAGAGAGGCGGGACAAATGGGAGCATCCCTTCTGGCCCTCTGGGGAATGAGATGGGCAGGGTGCTGGTGGGACGGCAGCAGAGGGAATGGGGTGAAGAGGCCTCAGGAAGGAGAGTGTCATGTTAGGATGGGCTTGAGAAAAGAGGCAGGCCTCCAAACTCCCTTTGCATCTGCTGTATGCCAGGCCCCCTGCACAGCTCATGCTCCCCTTAAGCCCCGCAGGGGTCTCCATGTTTCAGATGAGGAAGTGTGGGCAGAGCTGGAGTTCTCGTCCCAGGTGCCTGTCCCCAGAGTCAGGTTGACCTACCTCCCTTGAGCAGGGGCTAGCCTCCAACAGATAGGAATGAGAACGGGAGCCCACTTGGGGGTCAAAACAAAGCACCTCCTTCCAGAGTCCCCCAGTACAGAAGAGCAGGTGCTGATGACCAGGCAGAAGAGGGGAGCCCAGCTGGTAGCCAGTCAGGGGCTATACCAACTTCTGCTGACCTCTCCAAGTCCCCAGCCCAGACGGGTGCCAAGGCCACCAGCAGTCTGCTGAAAGGGGAAAGCCTGGGGGCAGGGCAGATTTGGACTCAGAAATAGGGTCCTGGGCCAGGTCAGGAGATAGAGTCTCAGTCTCCGGGCAGACCAACTACCCTGGGACAATGGGTAACAGAAGGCTTTGGTATTTCTTGCCCTAGATTCGGGTTTGCTGACCCCTCTGGTACTTCTCCCTCATTTTCTATCCCCATCCCTACTCTCCCTGGCCTAGAGCAGCAGCTCTCCAGATCCCATTCTGGGACTGAAGGTTAACCCTTCACCTGCTGCCCCTTCCCAACACTCAGGCCCCTCAGAGCCGGCTCGGCCTGTTCCACAGCCACCTGTGGGTGGCGCCGGCCCCCAGGCACCAGCAACCTCTGGGTATTTATGAGTTTCATATGAAGTACTGTGCCCCTTCCCTTCCTTACCTGCCCCCCATCTCACCCCTGAGCTTCCTGAAGATCCTCACAGTTTGCATATCGCTCAGGCCACCTCCAAACCCAACCTAGGTTTTATAATGTATATTATATATATTTTTGTGTATTTTTTAAATCCAGCTGTGATGGGTTGTATCATAAATGTGGCGCAGGGCTGGGGCAGGGGCCCTCCAGGCCCAGCTCCTGCTCAAAAAAAAAAAAAAGAAAAAAAAGATTAAAGTTATTTGTTTGTGGGTCAGTTGTGTGGCCAACTGCGTGCCGAAGCTCAGGAGGGGATGGGACCTGAGTTCTGCATCCTAGTGTGTCATGCCCTTCCAGCTCACCCCCCTCTGACTCGGGACAGCAGGGACAAGCAGATAGCTCTCGAAGGCCCTATAAAGCATTGCCAAGTCCAAAGCATTTTCATACAAAGTATACATTATCAGTTCAGTTCAAAGAAAGTGTTATTTGGGTTTGGATTCAAATGGACAGTTTTTAATAATTATAGGACCTCAGAAAAATCACTGGGTCTGAGGCTTGATTCTACATCTGTGAGTTATTGAGAGAATTAGATAAGATGTTTGTAAAAATTCCATGCTAAGCTATGTGCAAAAGGAGCTCTGGTAGCGTAGTTACGAATTGGGCTGCTAATCTCACAGTCAGCAGTACAAAACTACCAGCTGTTCCGCAGGAGAAAGGAGGCTTTCTGCTCCCGTAAAGATTTACAACCTCAGAAACCCTGTACAGGGTCACTATGAGTCAGAACCAACTCCACGGCACACATCAACAACAAGCTATGTGCATAGCTCTGGTAGCGTAGTGGGTTACGAGCTGGGCTGCTACCCGCAAGGTTGGTAGTTTAAATCTACCCGTTGCTTCTCAGGAGAAAGATGAGGCTTTGTGTCCCATGAAACTTTACAGCCTCAGAAACCCTATACAGGGTAGCTATGAGTTGGCATCACCACCACCACCATGTTATATGTATGTGGCGCATGTACTACAATCTCTCCCCTCAAAGAATTTAAACTTTAGTTTAAATGCAAATTGTATGAAAGAAAAAAAAAAAATGATTTGCTTACAATGTTTAAAAACCTTTGCCAACTCCAAAAATTCTCCTCAGTCTGCCACTAGTGAGCACTGGTCCAGGTTTTACCTTGGCTTAATTTTTATAAGTGAAGTGACTTGCCCAAGGTCACACACTTGCTGAACCACACACATCACAGGCCAGGGCATGATGGCTTCTATTGGTTTTCACCCTCCTCATCTGTCCCACATTGAAAACTGCTGAGTGGCGTGGAAACAAGACTCTAACCCGCTGTTGTTGCGTGCTATTATCTTCAACTCAACAAACCTGGTGAGGGTTTCCAAGGCTGTAATTCTTAGGGAAGCAGAAAGCTTCATCTTTCTCGTGTGGAGAGGCTGCTGAATTTGAACAGCCAACTTTGTGGTTAGAAGTCCAGTCCTTATCCTGTGGTCACAACTAGGATGACAGTCTCCAGATTAGCTCCCTAAGCCCTGAATGGACACTTTCCCAAGGAGGCGTAGGGTTGATCCAGCAGGTTCACCTCTGTGCATTGTGAATGAATTGGGTCTCACTTGTTGTTGTTAAGTGCCGTCAAGTCGGTTCCGACCCATAGCGACCCTGTACAGGGTTTCCGAGGGTGTAAATCTTTACGGGAGTAGAAAGCCTCATCTTTCTCCCACGGAGCGGCTGGTAGTTTCGAACTGCTGACCTTAAGATTCGCAGCCCGATTCGTAACCACTACGCTACCAGGGTCTCACTAGTCACCGGAAAGAGGGCTGTGACATACAAAATTGAATTAGATGAGACTCGTAGGTAACATTACCTAAAACACAATATACATTGTTAAATTTCAGATCAATGATTAATCTGTGAGTGTAAGTATGTCCCATGTAACACTAAAAAAATGGCTAATCTGAAATTCAAACGTTAACTGATTGCCCTCTAGTTTTATTTGCTAAATCTGGCAACCCTTCTCTAGAGTCTTTTATGTCAGTCTGGTCCCACCCCCAAGTGAGGTTGAAACTGAGATTGAGGTTAAAAACTTAACTCATTCAGCCAGTCTGATTTGAACCAGGCCTGCGTTTGAGTCGGTTCAGCCGTTGGGTTTGTTTTCCCTACTTTGGAACCTTGGAACTGTGGAACTGGTCATCACCAGCCTCAGTATCTGTTCCATTCTTTGTGTGGGTATGAGCAGGAGTTGCTTCTGACACCTGGCAACCCCATGTGAGAATAGAATTCCATAGGGTTCTCAATGGCTGCTTTTTAAAGTAAATTAGCTGCATCTTCTTCAAGGCATCTCTCAGATTCCAACATTCCTGTTTGCAGGTGAGTGTGTTCAGTGTAGACTCTGGTGTTTGGTGATAACTACACATTTAGTCACGTCTTGGTGCCAGGCTTTGTGTTGGATGCTGTTTCTTCCTGTCATTTAATCTTCATTTAATCAGTACTGATATGCAGAAAAAGGAACAGGCTCACTGTCCTTGGAAAATGTAGTCAGTCTCTGCCACATCTTGTGAATACTTGTCCCTGAGTGGCACAAATGGTTAAGTGCTCAACTACTAACACAAAGTTTAATGATTTGGACCCATCCAGAAGTCCCTCTGCAGAAAGGCCTGGCACTCTGCCTCTGAAGGGTCTTGAAGGAGCACAGTTCTCTGCAGCAGATGGGGTTGTCATGAGTCGGATTTGTCTCAACAATTTGGTGGGTGGTGCTTTTGAAGCAAACACCTCTCTTGAGTAAACCACCTTCAAATAATTCCTTTTAGAGAAATCTGGGTCTTTTGTGTGGATAATTCAAGAGGTGACAGAAAGCCGGTGCTTGCTCATGCACACACCAAGAACAGAACTGACCCAGAGACTGGTAATGGCCAGTTCCAAGTCCCAAAGTAGGGAAAACAAAACTCAAAACAGTTGCTGTCCGGTCAACTCCTACTCAGGACCTTTCAGAAGACTGTCAGGACTGTCTTCCTTAGATGGGGTTGAATCATCAACTTTTGGGTTAGTTTAGCATGTAACCATTGGCACCACTCAGTGACAACATAAGAAAGGAACTCTGTAACACATGAGGGTCAACACAAGTTGGATTCTCCCCAATGACACCTAACAATCCCAGTGCATAAAACCTGTTGGCATCAAATCATTTCCAACTCATGGAAACACCATGTTCCAGAGAAGTGCCCCAAACGGTTTCCAGTGGCTGATATGTCGGAAGCAGATCACCAGGCCTTCTAAGGCACCACTGAATGGACCATTCAGTTAGTAGCTTAGTGCTTACCTATTTGTGCCACTTAGGGATTCTTACAATGCATACATGTGTTAATAGATTTATAAATTAGAGTGGATTCTATTTAAATTCAGGTAGTTCAAATTAATAATCTATGAAGACCCGTTAGCAAGCATTTCTAAGACACTCATTTTACTTTGCCTTATTGTTAAGGGCCATCGAGTTGGTTCTGATTCATAGTGACTCTGTGTAGGGTTTCCAAGGAGCCACTGATGTGGTTAGCAGTCCAATATTCATCCTACTGAGTCACAAGACACCATCTTGCCTTGGTGGTGGTTATGTGCTGTGGAGTCGGAACCGACTCATAACGACCCTGTATAGGGTTTCTGAGGCTGTAAATCTTTACGGGAGCAGAAAGCCTCATCTTCCCGTGGAACACCTGGTAGTTTCGAGCAGCTGACCTTGAGGTTCGCAGCCCAATTCGTAACCACTATGCTACCAGAGCTCCTTAGCGTCTAAAATTATTTAAGGGTT